TCATCCTTGATCGCAACTGTGCATTTGCCCTATGACCTGTGAGATAATGTACACTCTCTTTAGTTTTGTATAGTGAGGAAGGTGCTAAAGAAGCAGGTAGCAAAAGAAAATTCTGTTTAATTTGGTGTTTTGGAAGCCTACAGGTTTCCAGTAGATAGTTCTTGGTTAAAATAATGAAAATATTCCAAAGCTGAGCACTGGCCAACCTAGCCTAGAACACTTCTAAGCAAGCCCCAAGGTCATACTCTGAAGCACTTCTAGAATTAACATTAAAACTACAATTATAATTCATTTGACTCCCACCATGAACTAGGTACTACACATACATCATCATATCCTTATAAAACTCTTATAAATTAGGTATTATTATTTTCATTTTACATATGAAGAGAAAAGAGACACAGAAAGATAATAGTTTGCTAAATTCTTGAAGGTAGTTAGGATTCAAATTCAGGAAAGGCTTCAAAGTACATGCTTTTTCAATTATATTAAACTGGGCCAGGTTTCTTACAATTCATATTTCAAACACTTACTAGGCACTTGTTGGTTGCAAAAGAGTATAGACTGCCTGTCATCAAATGATGCAAAATACTTCAGGAGCCTGTTTTGAAGGTCAAAAGGTGGAGGCCTCGTTCATCAGGCTGAAAGGCATGCAGCCAGGCTGCCTAGCAGGCATTTAAAATTTTCCTGATAAACAGGAGTCGCTCAGCAACAATACATTCCTGGTTCACCTAACTTTTAGATTCTACCCCAAGCCTGCTGTTTCAACAGACAGACATCCTGCGCTTTGTGGAGATCAAAAAGAAGTCAGTGAGGGTATTCTCTGGCAGTCCAGTGGTTAGGACTCGGCACTCTCACTGCCGGGGCCCGGGTTCAATCCCTGGTCGGGGAACTAAGATCCCACAAGCCGCACGGAGCAGCCAAAAAGAAGAAAGTCAGTAAGGTGAGGGTGAGGAAGAGGCAGAGGAGATGGGTAGCAAAGGGCTGGATTCATGAAAATTTGGCATAATGGCCATGGCATTATGAAAATCCTAATACTTGCTAACTTTTCACTTTGAATAGCCAGACGGAGTTTATTAGTTACATTTGGACAGACCTGATTTTAATTCTGGCTGTACTACCTAGTAACTGAATGACTTAGGGCAAGTGGTTTTTACCTCTCGGAGCCTTGTTTTTCCTTATCTGTAAAATGGGATGCAGTAAGGTCCTTTGGCAGAATTCTTGCCCCTCTTGTTCATCTTTGAGATGTTTAGGGCCCTCTTACTTATGCAGAAGCACTCCAGTCAAGCCACTGTGTGGAGAAGTAGCTATATGTAGACCTTCCATTTCCTTAAGTAGCTTAGCAAGAGTACTTCAACCCTTCCTCTGCAGACTGGTCATGGTTGAGGTTGATCAAGTTAAAAGAGCAATCTAGGAAACTCCTGGAAAGAAAAGGATTGATTTCCTATCTCCTCTGACTAGGGTGGCCACAAAAGAAGAAAGATATGGGGGGCGGGGAGCAAATGGGGACAAGAGGATGGCAATGCTTCTGAATGCAAGAGACAGCAACAGAGGCTGAGGAGGCTGGAACCAGTCCTGAGCTGGGCCATGGTGGACCCAGGGCTTCTGTGAAAGTGCCTTAGTGTGTGAACTCAAAGGGCTGAGCCCTAAGAGCTGCAATCCTTGAGGCTCAGGCCTTTTGTGGCATGAAGTCCTCTCTACTGAGTGCATCACAGGAAACTCCTTGCCTTTAAGAGACCCTGCAATTGGCAAAGCAAAGGGCTCTGCTCCCAGACATAAATCTCTGGCTAATTTACATTGACTGGGGTTATCTTAGAGTTTAAAGGGGAGGAAGTTGAAACCTAGAAGGCATGGCTAGACTTTTAGACTTTTTGTTTTTATCTATTTGTATACCAAGGGGATTCCCTGGTGGCGCAGTGGTTAAGAATCCGCCTGCCAATGCAGGGGACATGGGTTCGATTCCCTGGTCCGGGAAGATCCCACATGTTGCAGAGCAAGTAAGCCCGTGCGCCACAACTACTGAGCCTGCGCTCTAGAGCCCGCGAGCCACAACTACTGAGCCCACGTGCCACAACTACTGAAGCCCGCATGCCTAGAGCCCATGCTCCACAACAAGAGAAGCCACCGCAATGTGAAGCCCACGCACAAGGAAGAGTAGCCTCCGCTCGCCGCAACTAGAGAAAGCCCACACACAGCAACGAAGACCCAACGCAGCCAAAATTAAATTAATTTAAAAAATAAATTAATTAAAAAAATTTTTTTTAATTTAAAAGTATTTGTATACCAAACTACAAAGAGCCACTTCAGATACAGGAAAAATAAATATTAGATGAGGTAAAGTTTATAAAGTCTTTCAGTACTCAGGACATAGCAAGTAACTAGAAATGGCAGATAGTCATTTCCACTGGGAGGAAGGCTCAGAAACTGCACTTCTGGTTCTAACCACAGCAGCTAAGCAGCTCAAGGGGAGCCTGTGGGGATATTTGGAGACAATCAATGGCAGCCACATTACAGAGCCTGGACATCTCTTTTCCTTGCCTGAGTGACTTCATCCATACCTTTGCCTTTACCTGCTCATTTTGCAAATATTTGTCCAGGATGCACTTCTGGGCACTGAGGTTACAAAGAAGACACACAACCAAAGAAACAATTCTAATATGGTTATAGCATTTTAGCCCTGGCCTCTCTGAGCTCTAAATTCATTTATGTCATTTCACTCAGATTGCAAAACAGATATCTGAGACAGACCTTTCATTTCTCCTCCAAATTTGCCTGATGCCACCACACTGCTGAAGGCAAAAACCCAGAAAAACACTGCCTTAATCACTGTTACCCTTACCCTCACGGTGCATTTTCATTTCTCCACATCTTTCTTAAGCACAATTAATGACTAAATTGGGGCTTAGAATTCTAATGAGGGCCTAACATCAATTGAAGAGGAAGGGTAATTTCCAGATGAATGCTGTGTTTTTAATGAATAGATCCCAGTATTATGTGGGACTGTTTTTCCACAACAGTACAACATTGATGACTCATATTCAGTTTGTTGACAATCGTGACGTCCAGATCTGGATATATGCCCTAGCCAGACTCAAAAAACTTGCAGTTTAGATGAGAAAGACATGAAGATAAGTCCTAAAGGTTTGAACCCATTTTCTGTTTGCGGAGGTGAAGGTGTTGTAAAGGTGTAGCTGAAACATCAATGTTCATAAACTACCTGTTGAACAACTGCTGGACGATTAATGATTTAAAGGCCAATTTTTATGTTTCTACTATCTATTCACACAACTGCCAGAGAGATCCTTTTAAAACAAATCTGATTATTCCTTTGTTCTCAACCCTTCCATGGTATTCTATCACATTCTAATAAAATCTAAAGTCCCACATGGCTTACCAGATATACAATCTGGCTTCTGCCTGTTATCCAACTTATTGCTTTAATTTGCTGTGCTCCAGCCTCACTGCTCTCCTTGCTTCTTCTCCAACATGCCAAGCAGTCAGGGCTATTTTAATTGCCATTTCTTTTCTCCTGGAACAATTTCTCTCTAGAAATCCACACAGCTGCCTCCCTCATTTATTTAATGATTAGATTTCTGCTTACAATTAAGAGGACTTCCTTGTCTACCCCATCTAATAAAGCATCCCCTTTCTCCTAATTTTTTAAAAAACTTGCCACATTACTGGGCATTAGCTATTATTTAGTAATATATTATGTGTATTGCTTAATGTCAATCTCCCCCCTTATTATGAGACAGAGACTTTGTTTTGTTCACAGCTGAATTCCCAGCACCTAGAACATTCTTCTCATCAAATATTTGATAAATGAATAGATTTTCAGAATACATCGAATGTAAAACTATTCTAAATTTATTGACATGAAGCATAGAAAAATATCTAGAAGAATGTATAGCAAAATGTTAACTATCATGGTGGGAGCTGGTTTTCACATATTTTTGCTCATGCAAATATTCTAACTTTTTTTTTTTTTTTAGTATGAACTTGTATGACTCAGATACTAAAAAATGAGTAAAGAGGCCACACAGGCATAAAGTGTAAATGAATTCTATAAGAGGTTGGGCAAATTTATGAAAGACTTCTAAATAGATGTATTAGCATGATGGTTAAGCTAAACTACTCTTTGAATCCCCTTCCCCAACACGGTCTAGCAGTGTGATCCCAAGTTGTTCACAAGGCAGAGTCTAAAGGTTTTCACCTGGAAAATGGGGACGATAATAATTAGTGTCTACCCCATAAGGTTGTTTTTGAAGATGAAACGGGAACATGTATGTAACCCCCTTTGTACAATGCCTGGCATGCAGAAAATACTCGACAAATGGCAGCTATTATAATAGTTAGTAGTAACAAGAGATGTTGGGACATACCTAGCCCTCAAGATTGACATCAGAGTGGACCACCACATCCTCTCATCATTGCGCCTCAGTCTGGGCCCCTGAAGCCCAAAGAGGAGATGGTTCTTTCCAAAGAAGATAATTTCGACGTTCCAGAAGCATCTGAATCAAACGTACCCTGTGAACCCTTAAACCTTTCAGGCAGTCTGGTTATTCCATGAGCAGCACTGCAAGACCCGGCTTCCAAAGGCGACCACCGCTCGCCGTCCTTGGGCCCAGTCCCTTAGCCTTGATTTTGTTCGAGGCTGCAACAGAGGTGAGGGGTGGGAATGTTAGAAAACACAAAAGCGGGTCAGTACCGGCCCGCTCCAGCTCACCGCACTCTAGAGCGGCTCAAACGGCACCACGCACCGGCAAGCCTGCGGCAACCAGCAACGCGCCCCCAGGGAAATACGATTACTGGTCCGACTCAAAACTCAGACAAGCTGCTCAAAGGCCCACCCTCCAAGGCCTCTGCCAGAGGCCAGACGCTAGCGCACGGGTAGGGAAGGGTCGGGGACGGAGGGAGGGGCAGCCGTTGATGAGCCGCAGGCGGCGAGGCCGCGACGGCCGGGGCGGGGACTGGGCGGAGGCGGCGAGCGCGCGGCCCGCTCGCGCCTGCGCCGCGCGGGAGCGAGCACGCAAGCCCAGGGCGCGCGCGCTGCTGGCGTTTCCTCGGCGCGGAGGAGGGGAACGAAGTGAGGTGAGGTACGAGGCGCTGCGGGCGGGCGGCGGCGGGGCGGGAGCCCCAGTCTCGGGACAAGGGGGAGGCAGGGATCGTGAGGTGCGGTGGGGTTGGGGGCGGACTGCGGGCCCCGGCGGCGTCGGCGGCGAGGGGGGCGAGGGGGACGAGGGGGACGAGGGGGGCGAGGGGGGCGGACCACGCCGCGCCGTGGGGGAGGGCGGCGTGGGGCGGGCCTGAGCCCTGGGGCCCCGCCCCGCCGCGGCCTGACGCGCCCCGCCCCCTGGGCGGCCCCGGTGGGTCCCAGCCTGGCTCTTCCTGGCTCTGCTGCAAGGGAACGCGAAATCCCGTTCTTAGCTGACGTTACCTCTTGTTTTCAAGTAGGCCTTCCAAGTAGATATTTCGGGTCAGTTTTAGAGGTGAGGTGGTCTGAGGCTCCAGTAGAATGACTTGCCCGAGATCACACGGTTAATAAGGAACGAAGTGTGGCTTCGAATCTTGTCCGCAAAACTCCCAAGCCTGCGCCTGTCCCCCGCACCACATCGAATGCTCTTCACGTTCCTTCCCTCCTCCTCCCAGTAACTTCTTGGAATTTGGCAGATGTTAATGTGGAACTAGCATCCATCCTTTCATGGATGTTAGCGTCAGAAATGTCTCTTGTGTGAAGAAAGAGGAACAAAGAAGATTCCGCTTATTGCAATATTGCGCTTACAACGTGGAGTGATTGAGACTGTATACATCCTTTACTTGACCATCTCTACTAACCTCTGTTGAAGTGACGCTGCTGTTCACTAACTGTAAGACATTGTGCAAGTGACAGTCTTTCAGAGGTTCCTTTCCCTTCTTAAAAAAGCAGCATGCCTCAGAAGGTTGTAAGGATTCAGAGACAATCCACATACAGTGATACTACAGTGCCTGGCATATGAAAAATATTCAGTAAATGTTGGCCATTATTTCATTATTGAGTGCATAATACCCCTTACTAAGCGCACTTTTCTTCAAACTTATTTTCCTGGGACCAGAGCAGAGGGGTAACCACTCCAGTTCATTCCTGGAAAAGACAAGTTCATTGACAGTTTTATGTGAATGTCCCATACAGTTAACGATGAATTATTCCCCAAGCTAAAACTATCAGGTGAAAGAAGTCACTGCAGGAGAACTAATGATGAACTAACCTTTTTGTAGAATTAACATTTATATGTCCATTACATTTGCGTTTATTGAGTTCTTTCCTCTTGGCACTGTGCTTGGTGCTTTAAGACATACAAATTTGTATTTGATGTAGTCCCTGCTTTCATTTAGTCTAGAAATGGGGAAAATATGCATTCAGAAGTGATTCTCACAAAGTGGAATGTGAAAAATGCCAAAAAAAGAGATAGATAAAAAGATATGGGAGTATAGAGGGAGGGGGGATGTTTTCATGACTTCGTGTGAAATATGAGTTCATTTATGTCTTCAAAAAGATAACTCGTATATTGTACATACCTATTAAATAGCTGTTCAAAGAATAAATTAGTGAACAAAATGTACGTTGTAATAGATAGGATTCCTTAGTTTTCTAGTAATAGACGTTCATTCAGATTAAAGTATTACTGGAATTATAGAGAAATGAGAAAAAACAAACAAACAAACCTATACCATTGGGCTACCCTTGGGGATGGGGATCTCAAGAGCCAGATCTCTTGGACCAGATTCTTTGGCTAGTGAATGAGCTCTAACCTGCCCTCTGTCCTTGGATACCTTACTCAAGATTCAGTTTTCGGTAAGAACAGATCTGGTTGCTTTAGCTGCTGTGGGGCTGGGGGGTGGAGTATTGGGATTCGTAACCCCACGAAAGCCATATGAAAGTCAGTTTCCCAAAGGAAGGAGGGCTAAGGAGAAAAGTGAGGCCTGGCAGAGAAAATCAGTTGTTGTTTATTAGAGGTATGTAGCCTTTGTAGAGGGCTTACTATGGGCCTGGCACTATGGTACATTATCTATGTGGATTTTGATATTTAATCTTCAGCAACTCTAGAAGGTAGATATGATTGTATCATCCATTTTACAGAGGAGGGAACAAGCTTGTAGAGATAAACTAATTTGCTTAGCCTTACAAAGCTAGGATGTGGTACAGTTGAGTAAGTTGCATTATGTTCTCTTTATCTTGTCCCTTTAAAGTATTTCCTCATCCATGTGCCACTTTTGTTTGTTTATAGCGGGGGTCGTCAGCTTTGGTGTCTGTGTTGGCCAGTTCTGAAATCTCCTTGAAGGAGCCCTACATTGAGGAAGATCAAAGCAGCAGTCTTTGCCAACTGGGGAATGGACCGTTTGAGTTCCTTTAGCAGTAAGTACCATGCGAACAAGTCCCAGGTGAATATTAATAGCAAACTGAAGTGGAAGTTGATCAAAGAAGAAAAATAAGCACTTTGAAGATGAAGCCATGTGAATCTGATCCTAAAGGAATGAGTATCAAATCAGAATAAAATCAACCACTACTACTGAACACGTGATACAAAACTGAGCACATGATACTCAAGGTCTTATAAGAAAATTAAGCTCAGGTGGACCATTCATAATACGATTAACCCGTAGTTCGACTTAAAAAAGCAGTTGAATTTCTCTTTAGAATCAATAACGTATTTCAGGTGCCTTGGTAAGAACTAATGTCAGTGGTAGAATAAAGGAAATGCTCCTGCCCCTGCTTTTTTGGCACTTGTATTCTAAGAGTAAACTATAGTGCAGTAATAGTGCAGAGATTTATGGCGTACATGTGAAGTAAATCCAGGCAGCCACAACTATGGAGGAAAAAATACACTTTTTCTTTTCTTCTGAAGATAAGAGATTTGGCAGAAATAGAAATCCATTGTTAGATGTTAGTAGTGTCCCAATGAGAAGAATCAGAAAGTCACTTTTGGGGTGTATCCTCCTCAGCAGTTTCTGCCTCCCTCTCTCCCTCCCTCCCATTTACTTATTTTGCTTTTGGCTACGCCAGGTCTTAGTTGCAGCACGTGGGACCTTTTAGTTGTGGGACGCGGACTCTTTGTTGTGGCATGCATGCGGGATCTAGTTCCCTGACCAGGGATTGAACCCGAGCCCCCTGCATTGGGAGCACCGAGTCTTACCCACTGGACCACCAGGGAAGTCCCTCAGCAGTTTCTTAAAGGGGCTCTAATTTACTCTCTCATCAGACTCCATATATATATTTAGGACAGAATGGAATCTTCCAATACATCTAGTTCAGATCTTTCATTTTTCACACAGAGAAAGAGCCTAAATGAATTATCCCCATGCTGGGAGTGTAAACTGAAACCACTCTCTCCCCCTTTTCAAAATAATTAAAAAATTTTTAAAAAGTGTTTTTTTTTAATATTTTTAAGCTAAACTTTAAAATTTTTATTTGGAAACAATTTCAAACAGGAAAGTTGGAAGAATAAGAATAGTACAAAGAATATCCATACACCTTTTGTAAACCTTTGACTCTATTTTCATAGTTCTCTATCTATAAATATACATATTTATTCACATATATATGTATTTATAGATAGATATACATACCCCATATTTTTTTTTCAGAATCATTTGAGGGCTTAGGGACATACATCATGGCCCCTAAGTACTTTAGTGTTTATTTCCTGAGACTAGGGATATTCTCTTCTAACTTCAGTACATTCTAGCCTCAGTAGAGTTGCCAACTTTAGTAAGTATAACACTGATAAAATACTTTTATCTAACCTGCCGTCTGTATTCCAGTTTTGTCAGCTGACTCAATAATGTCCTTGACGATGTTTTTTTCCTTCCCATACAGGATACAGTCAGGGTTCAGGTCTTGCATTAAGTTGCTGTGTCTCTTTAGCCTCCTTTAAACTGAAACATGTCCACAGCCTTTGTCTTTAGTGATTGACACTTTTGAAGAATACAGCCCCTTTCTCCCCTTTTTAAAACTAGAGGTGTCTCATTTTGGGTTTGTCTGGTCTTGCTGTGTTCCTCATTAGCGATGTTAATTTTGAAAACCCAGTCAACGGGGGCTTCCCTGGTGGCACAGTGGTTGAGAGTCCGCCTGCCGATGCAGGGGACACGGGTTCATGCCCCGGTCCGGGAAGATCCCACATGCCGCGGAGCGGCTGGGCCCGTGAGTCATGGCCGCTGAGCCTGTGCGTCCGGAGCCTGTGCTCCGCATCGGGAGAGGCCAGAACAGTGAGAGGCCCGCATACCGCAAAAAAAAAAAAAAAGAAAACCCAGTCAAGGTGTGCATTTGAGTTCTTCACTGTTTAATGTCTATTTTTTCTCTTGCGTCTAATAAGCAACCCATAAGGAGACACTTTCAGGCCATAAAATATCCTGTTCCTCATCAGAATTTCTCCCTAGTTAGCATCCATTGATGATTTTTGCCTGATCCAGTCTTTACTACGATGGTCGCAAAATGATTTTTCCCCCTGCATCCAGCACTCTCTCCATGTTTACTAGTTAGCACTTAGCATTCTACTATAATCAAGAGACCTCCTGTTTCACTTATTTATTATAAGTATGCATGCATGAATTCCTTTATTTTCAGTGGTTTATAATTCATTATCATACTTACTTTGGTTCTCAGACTGTCCTAATTTGAACACTGTGAGCCCCTTCAAGCCGGCTCTTGCAACCTTGTGACGTGCCCCATCGCTTTTTTGAGCATCTCCTTACTTTTTGGCATGGCTACATGTTCGAGGTGCATCTTCTACCTCCCATGCCCCAGCCCTAGAATCAGCCACTTCTCTGAGGAGCCCTTGGTCCTTTTAGAAAGGAGTGACATTAGAGACCAAGATATGGCCATTGCTTATTTCTACTAGAGTATCTTGGCATCTGGGCCTTTTTGGCCCACAGCGCTGGGAAATACATGGTAGGTATACACTACGTACATATATACCAGTATATGTACACAGTTGCATATACATGCGTATATCCATAGATGCACTTTCTTAGAAATCATGAGTTCACACTGATAACCTCCAGTTCACCTTCCTAGGCCCTTTTTTTGTCCCCCCACCCCCACCACGTTCCTTGTTTGTGTGTCCTTTCCTCAGTGAAAACCCTGGCTCCCAGCATTAGCACGATTATTCATTTGCTCAGTCTTTTAATACATCCAGAATTATTTCAGAATTGCTTGGTGCATACCACTACATAACACAGACCCACTTCAACAAGTTCAGGATTTGTTTGCAATTCTCTGCATCACCCAAGACTGAAGGTCTGTTGTTAAATGTTCATAAGTTACTTGGATTGGTTCTTTTTTTTCCCCTCCTCATTGTGGTTGTGATATTCCTTTGAAATACTTTTTGGTTCATCTGTTCGTTCTGCTTTCAGTTTTCCCTTCCCATATTTAGTGGTTTAATTTTCTAATTTGCAGAACATGAGTATGCTTCCAAAAGTCAAAGCTGTGCAAAAAGGTATATTTGGAGAATTGTTGCTCCTTCCTAGGTCTCTTCCACTCCTTTCCATTCCCCCTCCTTCAACCCTTCGTAGGTATTGTTTTCTAATTTATCTGTCCTTTATTTCTTTTTGCAAAGACAGACGTGTATATGTTTTTGCTTTTGTTTTACCTAATTTTTTCCTGAAAACGTAGCATACTATGTATGCTCTTTTGCACCTTGTTTTTTTCACTTAATAGTATCTCGTGGAAATACGATGCTGCTTTATAGACATTGTTATTTTTATTTATTTATATATATTTTTTGCGGTACACGGGCCTCTCACTGTTGTGGCCTCTCCCGTTGCGGAGCATAGGCTCCGGACGCGCAGGCTCAGAGGCCATGGCTCACGGGCCCAGCCACTCTGCGGCATGTGGGATCTTTCCAGACTGGGGCACGAACCCGTGTCCCCTGCATTAGCAGGCGGACTCTCAACCACTGCGCCACCAGGGAAGCCTCCGAGATTATTTTTTTATAGTTGTATAGTACTCGATTATGTGAACGTACCATAGTTTGTTCAACTACTGTCCAGTGCTTGGACATCAAAGTAGTATTTTGCAGTTATAAATAATGTTCTAATGCATAACCTTATACTGTTGGAGGTGTATATTCAGGGTAAATTCCTAGAAGTGGGATTTCTAGGTCCAAAGATAAATGGATGCATTTATTTAGATAGTGCTAAATTCCTTTCTATAGAAGTTGTGCCATTTTGCATTCCCGTCAGCAGTATATGAGGTTGCCTATTTCCCCACAGTCTTCTTAAGAAAGTATATTATCAAGCTTTTGAATTTTTGCCAATCTGATGGGTAAGAACTTATATCTCAGTGTAGATTTCTCTTATTATGAGTGAAGTTGAATGTCTTTTCATGTTTAAGGTCCATTTTATCTCTCTTTTTCCTAATTATCTCTTCGTGACTTTCACAGTAGGATTTTTGGTCTTTTATTTTCCTCTCAATTTTTAAAAGTTCTTTCTATATTAAAGATGTTAGCCCTTTATGATATGTTTACAAGTATTTTCTTCTAGTTTATTTGCTTTTTTAACTTTGCTTATGGTGTTCTTTGCCAAAAAAGAGCTTTTTGTTTGTTTTGTTTTGTCAAATTTATTACTCTTTTATTGCCTCTGAAGTTTGAATGATGGTAAAAAGTCTTTCCCTACTCCTAGGTTACAGAAAAGTTCTGGAATCCTTTGTGAAGGACACTTTGGCTATGTGTATCAGAAACCCTCTGTACACTCAACAGTTCTAGTTCTAGGAAAACAGAAATCCTGAGGAACAAAATGTGAACTGTTACGTGTACAGGAACGTCGATCTCAGCATTTTTTATAATAGTGAAAAATTGGAAACAACTTAAATATCCACCAATAGGAAACTGGTTAGATTAGTGGTTCTCAGTCTTATGAGACCCAGTGATTTCTTTTTATAATGTTTTTAAAGCCCCTTTTACTATTTGGAAATGAAATACATAGATAATATAACATAACTATGCGCATGATTTCAAAGAAATAAAAACAATGCCCTAGGACTTCCCTGGTGGCACAGTGGTTAAGAAATCTGCCTGCGAATGCAGGAGACACGGGTTCAATTCCTGGTCCGGGAAGATCTCACATGCCATGGAGCAGCTAAGCCCGTGCACCACAACTACTGAGCCTGTGCTGTAAGCCCGCGAGCCACAACCACTGAAGCCCGAGCGCCTAGAGCCTGTGCTCTGCAACAAGAGAAGCCATCTCAATGAGAAACCCGCGCACCACAACGAAGAGTATTCCCCACTCACCGCAACGAGAGAAAGCCTGTGCGCAGCAATGAAGGCCCAACACAGCCAAAAATAAATAAATTAAGTAATTAAAAAATAATAATATTGCCCTAACTATACTATAAAAGATAAATAAAAGAGAAGTGATTTGTAATAAATAATGTAATTTATAATAATATGTATCAATATGTTTAGACATTACAGTGGAAAACATAATGCCTTTAGTCAAATGCTTGTACCCGTAAGTCAAATCACTGTGCATATTACAACTACAAATGCACAGTGATTCACGTGTGTTGTATTGGTGACTCAAATACCACAAGCTTGAATAACTCTTAGTAAAGTTCTGAACAAAACAAGGTAGAATCTCCTCTTGACGTAATGCAGTTGCCTTCCTGGAAAATTCAATACATATTAAAACTGTCAAAAACATTTTGTTGTATTTAGTATGGAATTATGTTCCAGGTCATGTCATTATGAGCAAGTTTTCACCTACTTGAACGTCTGGTGGGACATTTGAAAGTTGTGCAGGAGACTGGCCAATTCTTTGTTGTGTAGGAATATCTTGAGTGTTGAAGGATATCTAGCATCCCTGATCCCAGCCTGCTAAGTGCCAGTAGTGCTCCCTAGTCATTGTGGCAATAAAAAAGCATCTCCTCAGATTTCCATAATACCTTCCTAGGAGGCAGTTGAAAACCATTAGGTTAGATTAAATAGATATAATGGACTATTATTCATCCATTAAAAAGAGTGAGGAAGATCTATGTGTACCATCATGAAAGATGTTGACAATATATTATCAAGTGAAAAAACAGGCTATAAAATGTGTGGTATCCCACTTTTGTTAAAATATACACACATGTACATAGAAGAAAGGCTAGAAATCAGAATGTTAATAGAGGATGACATACTTTATACTTTTTATTGTCTAAAATTTTTGAAACTATAAATTGAACTTTTACAAAATAATTATCTTTTTTTTTTAACATCTTTATTGGAGTATAATTGCTTTACAGTGGTATGTTAGTTTCTGCTTTATAACAAAGTGAATCAGCTGTACATACACATATATCCCCATATCTCCTCCTTCTTGTGTCTCCCTCCCATCCTCCCTATCCCACCCCTCTTGGTCACAAAGCACTGAGCTGATCTCCCTGTGCTATGCAGCTGCTTCCCACTAGCTAGCTATTTTACATTTGGTAGTGTATATATGTCCATATTACTCTCTCACTTCGTCCCACCTTACCCTTCCCCCTCCCTGTGTCCTCAAGTCCATCCTCTACGTCTGCATCTTTATTCCTGTCCTGCCCTTAGGTTCTTCAGAACCTTTTTTTTTTTTTTTTTTTTTAGATTCTATATGTGTTAGCATACGGTATTTTTCTATTTCTGACTTAGTTCACTCTGTATGACAGACTCTAGGTCCATCCACCTCACTACAAATAACTCAATTTCATTTCTTTTTATGGCTGAGTAATATTCCATTGTATATATGTGCCACATCTTCTTTATCCATTGAACTGTTGATGGACACTTAGGTTGCTTCCATGCCCTGGCTATTGTAAGGAGAGCTGCAGTGAACATTGTGGTACATGACTCTTCTTGAATTATGGTTTTCTCAGGGTATATGCCCAGTAGTGGGATTGCTGGGCCATATGGTAGTTATATATTTAGTTTTTTCAGGAACCTCCATAGTGTTCCCCATAGTGGCTGTATCAATTTACATTCCCACCAACAGTGCAGGAGGGTTCCCTTTTCTCCACACCCTATCCAGCATTTATTGTTTGTAGATTTTTTTTTTTTTTTGACGTACGCGGGCCTCTCACCGCTGCGGCCTCTCCCGTTGCGGAGCACAGGCTCTGGATGCGCAGGCCCAGCGGCCATGGCTCACGGGCCCAGCCGCTCTGTGGCATGTGGGATCCTCCCGGACCGGGGCACGAACCCACACCCCCCGCATTGGCAGGTGGACTCTCAACCACTGCGCCACCAGGGAAGCCCCTGTTTGTAGATTTTTTGATGATGGCCATTCTGACTAGTGTGAGGTGATACCTCATTGTAGTTTTGATTAGCATTTCTCTAAAAAACAATTACTTCTTGACATGAGGGTTTAAAAACTCTTTAGGTCAGTCATTGGCCAATTTTTTGTTGTTGAAGAACGTTTGAGGAAAGAAAAGCAAGCTCATATCATTAAAAGAAAAGGATGCGAGGGCTTCCCTGGTGGCCCAGTGGTTGAGAGTCCGCCTGCTAATGCAGGGGACACGGGTTCGTGCCCAGGTCCGGGAGGATCCCACGTGCCACGGAGCGGCTGGATCCGTGAGCCATGGCCGCTGAGCCTGCGCATCCGGACCCTATGCTCCGCAACGGGAGAGGCCACAACAGTGAGAGGCCCGCGTACCGCAAAAAAAAAAGAAACAAAAGGATGTGAGGAAGAAGGTAATTTGGTAAAAATTGACATTTAATATAAAATAATTTTTGTTCTTCCATTTCAAAATTTTAAATGGGAGAAGTGGGGTAGTTGCTGTTCCACATGTTTATTTTGAAGCTACTGCCAGAAAGATTACCTTTCTTTCCTCTGTCATTTTTTTCTCCAGGTCTTCATTTAGAAGCAAAAGAAAAGAAAAATGATCACCACTTACAGGAGGGAAAGGTGCCTTGAAGAGTGTTTCTTGGACTTTAGGAAGGAAAATGCTATTGCAGAATGTGAGAAATTCTGCACCAGGCCAAACAGATTAAATCCCTTCTCTACCTTCAGAGCCTGTTTTCTTAGACTTCTGTTGATCACAGAGAACAACTCTGCTAGGTTGCCCTGACTCAAGAGTGGCAGAGTTTGGGACAGCCAGGGACACACACACATCTGCATTTTTATGACTTTAGAGAGTTTGGATTATACTCCTTGCCTTGATATTGCGGAGACAGTACTGTCATTGGAACTGGAGGAAGGTCTGCTCTGTTCTCTACTTACTGTGGGAGAAAGGGAGGGAGCTGTCCTGAGTTTAACTCCCAAATCAAATATGAAGTAGTACATCCCAAGATATGTTTAAAGGGTTTTTCTTTACCAACTTTTTATTATGAAAAATTTCAAACTTATAGAAAGTTGCAAGAACAGTACAGTAATTATTGCCCATTACCCAGACCCAGCAGTTATTAACATTTTGTCAGATTGGCTTTATCTATAACTATAGATGTGTTATGTAGGTATATGACATTATTTTCCCCTGGGAAAATAAACTGTGGGCATTATGAAACTTCCAGTTAAAACTTGTGTTTGTAAATTTCTCTGCAGGGGCAATATCTACTTAAATGCTATTTAAAATAGTAGATATACTGTAGGTAGGAACAAAGCTGGCCTGAAATAAAAAGGAACATAATTTTTGTTTTTTCTTACTTGGAATGAGCTCATCTTGTCTCCACGAACTTTTCAGCGCAGCTTACTACCTTGTGTAATCATTTGCAGATTTTCACCTTCTCGCATTTAAGATAATCATAAGGTGTTTTGAAGCTAGCATATTCTTCTTTTTGTTATAGATGATCCCTCTGATAAGCCACCTTGCCGAGGCTGCTCCTCCTACCTCATGGAGCCTTATATCAAGTGTGCTGAATGTGGGCCGCCTCCTTTTTTCCTGTGCTTGCAGGTAACTCTTTAAGGGGAGGCTTGCCTAGTTTTATGGATACAGTAAATTCAGAGATGACTATCAATTGCTCAGAAGGACCATACCTTATTAAGTCTATTTTTTCCAGTCAATATTGAATTACACATTTTACCAGTGAAAAATTGGGGAACAGAGCAGGATGGATGAGATAGACTGTTGAATATTCCACTTCCCTGTATCAACCTAATGCTGTTTTTACCAGTAAATTTCAAGTATTGGGACTACAAGAAATAGAATTGGAGGATTATAACTTTTGATAGCACCTATGACACTGTTTTTTGTCTTACTGAAGAGTGATGTTTGGGCAGGTGACAAACCAGGGAACAAACTATTTCGTCGATGATAGTGGTAATAGCAATACTAATGATAAGTGCTGGGCTTCCCTCGTGGCGCAGTGGTTAAGAATCCGCCTGCCAATGCAGGGGACATGGGTTTGGGCCCTGGTTCTGGAAGATCCCACATGCTGCGGAGCAACTAAGCCCATGCGCCACAACTACTGGGCCTGCGCTCTAGAGCACGCTAGCCACAAATACTGAGCCCGCGTGCCACAACTGCTGAAGCCCATGCACCTAGAGCCCGTGCACCGCAACAAGAGAAGCCACTGCAATGAGAAGCCCGCACACTTCAACGAAGAGTAGCCCCCGCTCACCGCAACTAGAGAAAGCCTGTGCGCAGCAACGAAGACCCAACGCAGCCAAAAATAAATAAAATTTTAAAAAATTGTTTAAAAAAATACTAATGATAAGTGCTTACTCTGTGCCAGGCACTATCTTGAGTACTTTGCATGAATTAACCTTTAAATCAAAACTGCAACCCTGGAAGTAACTATGATTAGTATCCCTATATTATAAAGGAAACTCAGGCAAAGAGAGGTTAAATAATTGGCTCAGGGTCACACAGCAAATACCATATTTTCTCAGATCCAAGATGCTGTTGATTAAAAGAAACATCCCAATTTCAGAAATGTTAAAGTGTAAAAATGGCTGATGGAAGTTGTAATATACTTTTCATTATAAGATGAATCCACATTTCAGAGTTTTAAAATATGAAATAATACATGTCTTAGAATTGCTGAAATAAGCTAAGAGCCAGAATTCAAATTTAGGCAGTCTGCTTCCAGGGCTTATGCTTTTATAAAAGGAGGAGTTGTCCTAGGAAAAACTCTTTTTTTCAGATCATTGTTTTTCTCTATGTGGGCCATTGAAAGGCTGCGATCATGAACTTAACCTTCCTGTTGTGGCTGCAGACAAGACTAAATGAATTCTTAAAAACTCATCACAAGAGTAAAATACCCCCAAGCCATCTTCTGTCCTTTAAGAAAGCATTCCAAAACGTAGCTTTTTGGTAACTTAATTTTCTTTTCTTTTGCAGTGTTTCACTCGAGGATTTGAGTACAAGAAACATCAAAGTGATCATACTTACGAAATAATGGTAATGATGAAGTTGTAGGAATTTCCCTTCATTTTCAAGTATTATACTGGGAATTAGTCTTTTTATTTCTTCATCTGCAAGTATCTCACTTTTCTTTCGCCCACTTCTGGATTAGGTAATCGTTGCGCAATAAGCTTTTTAGGGTTTTATGGATCTTCTAAGGCATTTAAGTCCAAAAAATCATTTATATACTCAGATTTTTGGTTTAAATTAGAAGGAATTTAAAGGAAGTGCTCTTTGAGATTTACTAATATAAGGATCAGAGGTTTGTGGTTTTCTAAGTTCATTGATAAACATGTAGTAAATGTGTTGTCGCTGTGTTTGGCTAATGGTATTTTTATGTGGTTTGTGTGGGCAGTGGTGATATTTATCTCTGTCACTCAACCTCCCCAGCCTTGGGAAAATTAGTTACCCTCAGAGAGTTAAGTTGTAAAATGGATGTAGGGTGAATAACATAGTAATATACAGAAGCACTTTGAAGAGGTAGACTGACTTATAGGCCAGAATAAGACTTGGCTGTAATTTGATTGTTTGCCGCCTCTAAAGAAGGAATGAGAGGCAGATGTTGGCAGTGTCCTTCCAATATCTAGCCAGAGGAACGGGCACTTTAATAAGCCAAAGTGAATATGTGGTATGCTTGACAGGTCTATATACAGTACCTTTGTCAGTTATCAGAGCCTAACTCCTAGGTCACCAAGTAGTTTTCTTACATTTGGCCTCCCATGTTGTTCTTCTTACAGGAAGGAATGCTGGTTGGGCATCTACTTGACAGTAATTTCACATCATGGGTTAATCCATTGATACATGTGTTAGTTTCCTCTTGCTGCCATAACAACTTAACCAAAAATGAAGGAGCTTAAACAACAACACAAATTTATCATCTCACAATTCTGTTGGTCAGAAGACCATTAGACTCAGTGGTTTGCTCCAGATTCTGTTAGGCTGAAATGAAAATGTTGACCTGTCTGGGTTTTTATCTGGAGACCCTGCGGGAGAATCCACTTCCAGTCCACTTCATTCTCATTCAAGTTGTTGACAGAATTCACTGCTGGGTGGTTGTAGGACTGATGCTACTGTTTCCTTATTAGTTGTTGGCCAGGGCTTACTCTTAGTCTCTAGAGGTTCCTGGCCCTCATTCTCAGTATTCAAAGCCAGCAATGGCAGGGAGTCCTTGAGGGTTACTGATGAAATGCTTGGCGTCTCTCTGACCTCTCCTGGTTCATCTCTCCTGTGCTGAATCTCTCTGACTCTTCTGCCTCTCTCTTCTACTTTTAAGGGCTGTGTGATTATATTGGGCCCACCAGCATAATCTCCTTATTTTACAGTCAGTTGATTAGTACCTTAATCCCATTAGCATAATCCCTTCACAGTAATATCTAGTTAGTGTTTGATTGAATAATCAGGGAACAGGAATCTTGGGGGCACTGGGGGACATCTTTAGAATTCTGTATACCGCAGCGCTGTAGCATATCTACTTCAGTCTCTTAAAAGTTTAGAAAGGGTAACTCAGCATCTCCAAGTCTGATGATTTATGAAGTCTTATTTAAGTGAGTTTCTGGGCCTGTAATGCTGAGAGTCAGATCCTGGTCCATAATGAATTAGTCAAAGAAATGCTCCTTAGTAAGAGTTCTTAGCAGCCAGCTGTCTAGCCTTCCCCTGCCTCTTTCTAAACACCCTCAGTCTTCTAAGTAGTTTCTTCACTAATTATAAGATTTGGAATACATTTTTTAATATTAGACTGTTTTTTAGAGAGTTACAGGTTCACAGCAAAATTGAGTGGAAAGTACAGAAATTTCTCTGCCCCCGCAAATGCATAACCTCCCCCATTATCAACATCCCCCACCAGAACTGTACATACATTATCACTGACGAACCTACGTTGACACCTCATTATCACCCGAAGTCCATAGTTTACATTAGGGTTCACTCTTGGTGATATACATTCTATGGGTTTGTAGAAATACATAATGACGTGTACCCACCATTATAGTATCATACAGAGTAGTTTCATGTTCCTAAAAATCTTCTGTGTTCTGCCTGTTCATCCGTGCCTCCCCCCAGCCTCTGGTAACTACTGATCTTTTTACAGTCTCCATGGTTTTGCCTTGTCCAAAATGTCATATAGTTGGAATCATACAGCGTGTAGCCTTTTCAGATTGGCTTCTTTCACCAAGTAATATGTATTTAAGTTTCCTCCATGTCTTTTCATGGCTTAATAGGTCATTTCTTTTTTAGCACTGAATAATATTCTGTTGTCTGGATGTACCACAGTTTATTTATTCATCCACCTACTGAAGGACATCTTGGTTGCTTCCAAGTTTTGACAATTAAGAATACAGCAGCTATAAATATCCATGTGCAGGTTTTTCTATGGACATAAGTTTTCAACTCCTTTGGGTAAATACCAAGGAACATGGCTGCTGGATCACATGGTAAGAGTATGTTTAGTTTTGTAAGAAACTGTCAAACTGCCCAAAGTGGCTGTACCATTTTGCATTCCCACCAGCAGTGAAAGAGAGTTCCTGTTGCTCCACATCCTCGTCCGCATTTGGTGTTGTCAGTGTTCTGGATCTTGGCCATTCTGATAGGTATATAACGCTATCTTGTTGTTTTAACTTGCATTTCTCTGACAACATATGATGTGGAACATCTTTTCATATGAATTTTTTTTTCCCTTTTGTTAATTGCAAAATGAATGAAGGGCTGGGGGAGAGTATGGTCAAAGTAGCTGTGGCTTTGAGTTCATTTCACCAGGGTTATCAGATCTTCAGAAAGTTGGCTTATTCTTCCTAAATTCACACAAGAATGCCTAGAACCAGAATACAAATTTATTCATTTGAATTGTGAAAATAATTCTTTAAAGGATAATTCAGTATAGTTTGGGTAGATTGAAGTTATCCACTGCCGGCAAGCTGACCATGAGCTCTCTTCAGCTGTTCTGGGCACCATCCCTTCTGCATAATGCTGACGGCACGAAGTTTCACTCCAAGTCCACCTAACTCTTCAGATTACTTCATCCTTTTCTCACATATTCTCTACCCATACAAACACATTTCAGAATTCTGTCCTTTATTTTGTAGAGCTTTTGGAGGTTACTAATACTCTCTTTTTTCTGCTAGTCTTTATCTATTCCCAGATAAGGAAAAGAAGAATCTTTCCTTCCGTAGGAATGATGACCAAATTTTGCTTCTCTACACACGAAGCCACTAAAAACTTGATTTTTTTCTTTTTGCATATGAAGCCTCAGAAAACTTTAAATGGTTTTCAGTACTTTTGCCATCTCACAGTGCTGTATTTTTGGAAGTTGCTCATGCTGTAGTGGGTGGTGCATTAATCAAGATTTCTGAGTTCTTTGCCTATTTTTGTCTTATAATTCTTAGAACCTTAAACAAGTCAAGGCACCTCTTTCAGCCACACCCTTTATACCAGTGATTCTTAAACTTTAGTGCATAAGAATCACCTGGGAGATTCTTAAAATTATAGATTCCTAGGCCTCACTGTCAGAAATTCTGTTTCAGTAGGGCCAAGATTGGGTCCAGAAATTGAATAATATTGATTCAACTTTAAGAAAAACTGACATGCCCATTTATTTTTTGGTGTAGGAAGTCTTTCTGGTTTATCTCACAGTAAAGTTGGTGAGGACTAATTAATATTCTAAAATACTCTTTTAGAAATAACAGGCTTTTCAACTATGAGTTGTCATATTTACCTGTATTCATGGTACTTTCCAGATTGAGTGATTATTTTGAATTTAATACAGACATAGACTCTGAAATTTCTCTTTTGGATCTCGTATCTGAAATATCTCATGTGAGGCATATTCCTAGTACATGCTCAGATAAAATGTATTGCTTATTAGTAATGTAATTTCACAGATCACAGATTTTCTTTGCCATTAACAAAAGAACAATTTATAAACGCCCGTGTGATCTGAGGATTTCTTGTGTCACTTTTTTTTTTTTAACTTATAGTAAATTTCAAGCATATACTAAAATACAGAAAATGGTGTTTCAGTTATCTGTTGCCTCTAATAGCTGCCTCAAAACTTCATGGTTTAGGGACTTCCTTGGTGGCGCAGTGGTTAAGAATCCGCCTGCCGATGCAGGGGACACGGGTTCGAGCCCTGGTCCAGGAAGATCCCACATGCCGTGGAGCAACTAAGCCCGTGCGCCACAACTACCGAGCCTGTGCTCTAGAGCCCACGAGCCACAACTGCTGAGCCCACGTGCTGCAACTACTGAAGGCTGCGTATCTAGAGCCCGTGCTCCGCAACAAAGAGAAGCCACCGTGATGAGAAGCCCGTGCACTGCAAGGAAGAGTAGCCCCCGCTTGCCACAACTAGAGAAAGCCCACGCACAGCAACGAAGACCCAACACAGCCAAGGATTAATTAATTAACAAACAAACGAAAAAGCTTCATGGTTTAAAATAACAGCCATTTTATTATCTCTCACAGTTTTGTGGGTCAGGAATTCAGATTGGCACCATGAGAGTAGCTTTCATTGATTCCACATGGTGTGCTGGGAATGGAAGTCCAAGGGGGTTTTTTCACTTTTAGCACCTCAGAATGGCTTGAGTTGGTTGAACTGGAATATCTTAACTGCCTGAGGCCTTTGGTTCCTCTCCAGGTAGCCTTAGGGCCTCTCCCTCTCCATGTGGCCTCTCCACGTGGTCTTTCCAGAAAGGAGGCTAGAATTCTTATGTGGTGGTTCAGGGCTACCAAAGACGAAAAAGTAGAAGCTGCCAGGCCTTCTTAAGCAAGTCACAGGTTCAACCCCTATTAAATGGGAAGGGACCACGTGAAGGTGTGAATTCTAGAAGTTCATTGGGGGCCACCATTGTAATCAACTACCACATATAGTGTAATAAATTCCCATATACCTGTCACTGGTTCTTAAAATTACCAACTCATACCCTATCTTGTTTCATCTAAACCCGTACCTCTCCAGCTTATTTTGAAACAAATCCCCTAGATATCATATCATTTCATCTGTAAACGTCTCATTAGGTCACTATAAAATTTTAAAGTAACTCAGTTCACATTTCTCCAGTCATCTCAAAAAAGCTTTTAAAAAAAAAAATCTGCTCTCTTCTCCACACCTGAAACAATCACTATTCTGATTTTTATCACCATAGATCAGTTTTGCATATTCTAGAACTGCATATAAATGGATTCATTCTGTATGTACTCTTGTTTCTGGTTTCTTTCATTCAGCATGTTTTTGAGATTTATTCAAGTTGTATATAATAATAGTTTATTCTTTTCTGTTACTGAGTAATATTTCATGGTATGAGTATAGCACAGTTTGTTTATCCATTCTCCTGTTGATAGAGACTGGGCTTTGCCTAGTTTGGGGCTATTAAGAATAAAGCTGCTGTGAGGGACTTCCCTGGTGGTCCAGTGGTTGGGATTTTGCCTTCCAATACAGGGGGTCTCGTTGGAGAGCTAAAATCCAACATGCGTCAGGGCCAAAAAACCAAAACATAAAACAGAAGCCATATTGTAACAAATTCAATAAAGACTTTAAAAATGGCCCACATCAGAAAAAAAGAAAGGGACTTCCCTGGTGGTGCAGTGGTTAAGAATCCGCCTGCCAGTGCAGGGTACACGGGTTTGAGCCCTGGTCCGGGAAGATCCCACATGCCGCGGAGCAACTAAGCCTGTGCGCCACAACTGCTGAGCCCGTGCTCTAGAGCCTGCGAGCCACAACTACTAAGCCGACATGCCACAGCTACTGAAGCCCGCGTGTCTAGAGCCTGTGCTTCGCAACAAGAGAAGCCACCGCGATGAGAAGCCCACGTACTGCAACGAAGAGTAGCCCCTGCTCGCCGCAACTAGAAAAGCCCACGCAGCAATGAAGATCCAATGCAGCCAAAAAATAAATACATAAATAAATTATTATTATTATTATTTTATTTTTTTTTTGGCGGTATGCGGGCCTCTCACTGTTGTGGCCTCTCCCCTTGAGGAGCAGGCCTAGCCACTCCACGGCATGTGGGATAGTCCTGGACTGGGACACGAACCCGTGTCCCCTGCATTGGCGGGTGGACTCTCAACCACTGCGCCACCAGGGAAGCCCATAAATAAATTAATTTTTTAAAAATACTTTAAGAAAGAAAAAAAGAATAAAGCTGCTTTGAACATTTTTGTATAAGGCTTTCTATGGACGTATATTTTCGTTTTTCTTGGGTAAACACTTAAGAGTGGAATTGCTGGGTCATAAAATAAATGATTATTTAACTTTTAAGAAACTGTCAAAAAGTTCCCTTAAATGGTTGTATCACTTTACACCTCAGCTAGCAGCGTATGAGAGTTCTGATTGCTCCTCATGCTTGCCAAGTTTTGTTATTGTCATTTTCTTCATCCTAGTATTCTAGTGGGTATGGTGAATGTGTAGTGGTGTCATCATTTTTCTTTTACCTTTTACAGTGCTATTTGGAATTCAGATATGGTCCATACATTCCAATTGATTGCCTCATATATTTATCCTGTGGGTTCTCCCTCTCCTTCCCCTCCTTCTCTCACTCTTTCTCTTGTTTCATATAGTTTGATTGTTTAAAAACCTGGGTTTATCTTATGGATGTTACTGCAGTCTAGATTTTGCTGATTAACGTGTTCCTCTGACTTCTGTGTTTCCTATAAATTAGTAGTTGATATATACTGGCTATATCAGATTCATTCATGATCATTGTTTAGATCTTTTTTTCTGGGATTGCAAAATACATAGTTATCTTTCAATTCTATCACTCCTTTTAATTTATGAGATTAAATAATTCTACAAAAAGAAAGTTTATTATCTATGTGGTCACCCTGAGGTAAAGTTTGTACAGAAGGGCAGGATAAATTATTTCCATTATTTACTAGTTTTCAAAGTATGAGTTGGTTCCCTGGCATCCTCTAGATATTTAGAATGTTTGGTGTGTTGTAATCCTTTGCAGTTCTTATTAATGTTCAGAATGTTCCATTTTTGGTCAGTGGGGGCCTCTACAAGTTGACCTCTGAATCCTTTTGACAGGACTCTTTTCGTCTTTAAGAGTTTCTTTGATTTCCAGTGTAATGAAGTGTTCCAGTCTCATCTTGTACATTTCCTACCCAAACCTGGAATTGCCTTTTTCTTCAAGGAGCCCTGGTTCCTTTAGTGGGAAATGGTGTTTAGAGACCACATACTGGGTACTAGAAGTGTTCATTGCTACTGGGTTTGTCATTTTTTCTAGACCTTTTCACTGAACAGTGATAGGAATTTTTTTTTTTAATTTCTTGTACAATTTTTAAAGGTGACACGTCATTTACAGTTATTACAAAATATTGGCTGTGTTTCCTCTGTTGTACAATACATCCTTGTAGCCTCTCTTACACCCAGCAGTTTGTACCTCCCACTCCTCCACCCCTGTATTGTGCCCCCCTCTCCCCGACTGGTAATCACTAGTTCTCTATATAGGAAATTATTGTTTTAAGACAAATACATCATGAGTTCATCCTAAAACTTTCTTGTTTTTTATATTTATTTATTAATTTATTTTTTATTTTTTTGGCTGCGTTGGGTCTTCGTTGCTGCGCGCGGGCTTTCTCTAGCTACAGTGAGTGGGGGCTGTTCTTTGTTGCAGTTCCCGGGCTTCTCATTGCGGTGGCTTCTCTTGTTGCGGAGCATGGGCTCTAGGCACGCGGGCTTCAGCAGTTGTGGCACGCGGGCTCAGTAGTTGTGTCTTGTGGGCTCTAGAGCACAGGTTCAGTAGTTGTGACGCACGGGCTTAGCTGCTCCTCAGCATGTGGGATCTTCCCGGACCAGGGCTCGAACCCATGTCCCCTGCATTGGCAGGTGGATTCTTAACCACTGTACCACCAGGAAAGTCCCCATACTAAAACTTTCAATTCAAATAACAAGACTACATGGTTTTACATAGCCTCATAGATCTTACATCTCTTTTTTTCCCCAAGCTCCAAGTCCCACTGTGCAGTGACACCAATACAGTTACTTATTTGCTTTACCCCACAGCATATCAACATGTAATAAGCTCAGAACAACTGTACCAACACTACTTGAAAACAGTTTAAGATTTTTTTGGCAGTTCCTTTTACTTTTAAGGTATATTCTACTAGAAATAAATAGTCAAGTTACTGTGTTTTAGTCACTTGGGATTGTTTCTTCCTGTGTGATTATGCCTTAAAATTAATTCACAGGTTTATGTCATTTTGCTTTTGATTCTTGTGATTTTAAAATTTAATAGTTAATGTACAGTGTTTATGTTTTCAAAGTCAAGTCTACAAACAAGGAATATTCAGAGAGGTCCAGCTTCTATCCTTGTCCTTTCCACCCTATTTCCTCCCTCCCTCCCCCATAGGTAAACTTGGTTTTAATATATGGTTTATTCTTGCATTTTAAATGATAGGAATATGCATATTTGTGTTCCTATCTTTCTTAGCTAAATGGGAACATACTATAATACTTATCTTTACCTTTTTGCTAAGTTTAAAAAACATATATTTCTGCCTGAGTTACAGTGGCATTTATGGTTGATAATATTTATTGTAGCTAATGGTGGAAGTAGAGGTGGGGGGGTGTGGACAGCTAATAAGAATGTACTGTAGGCACCTCTCAATACCATGAGAATGACAGCCATTTGACTATAATTAGGATTACATTTGGGGTTGCCGGGTTCCATTTCTGTGTCTGTTCTTAGGCCAAACTTTTTCTTCCTTAGACCTCAGATTTTCCTGTTCTTGACCCCAGCTGGACTGCTCAAGAAGAAATGGCCCTTTTAGAAGCTGTGATGGACTGTGGCTTTGGAAATTGGTAAGAGCTTGGGAATAAGGGTTCTCCTGCGCTAGTGGGCTCCAAAAAGAAGGTGCTGTTGAGGGTAAAAGGAGGAGCCTCAGGAAAAGGAGTTTGGGGGCCATATGTTGCTTTTCTGTTGACCCATGACTTAGAGACAAGTCCTCTTCCCCTCTGCACATTATTTTCCAAGGCCTAAATGCCTCACACGGCTATGAGATGTTTAGTGGTCCATGACTCGATAGCTCTAAAGGGCTGCTTTGGACATATCCACACAAGGAAGGTTGGTTATTCCTTTCTGAATAGTGGGGAAGTTTAGACTTATTAGTTATTGCTCCTTTCTGATTTCTGAATTTTTCTTGGCTGTAGATGCCCGCGTCATTTAAGTGAGTCAGACTTTAGACAACCATGGCTTACCTGAGATTCAAGTTTGACAGACTGCCTATCCTCATTGCCTGTTTTTAGCTTGTAGATACCTGCAAGAACTGAATAGCACTCATGGCTGTTGCCATGTGAGGTGATACTGCTTACTAATAATACCACCACTTTCATTTTTACCTTTTGGGAGTATTTTCACACCGATGATTTCATTTTGTGAACTAGATAGCAGAGGCTTTTTTTTTTTAATGATTTTATTTAGTTAGTTAGTTATTTTGGCTGAGTTGGGTATTTCTTGTGTTGCGCAGGCTTCCCATGGCAGTGGCTTCTCTTGTTGAGGAGCACGGGTTCTAGGCACGCGGGCTTCAGTAGTTGTGGGTCGTGGGCTCTAGAGCACAGGCTCAGTAGTTGTGGCTCATGGGCTTAGTTGCTCCACAGCATGTGGGATCTTCCCGGACCAGGGATCAAACATGTGTCGCCTGCCTTGGCAGGCGGATTCTTAACTAATGCACCACCAGGGAAGTCCCAGCAGAGGCTTTTTTTTTTTCTTTTTTTTTTTTTGCGGTATGCAGGCCTCTCACTGCTGTGGCCTCTCCTGTTGTGGAGCACAGGCTCCGATGCTCAGGCTCAGCGGCCGTGGCTCACGGGCCCAGCCGCTCCGTGTCATGTGGGACCTTCCCGGACCGGGGCACGAACCCGCGTCCCCTGCATCGGCAGGCGGACTCTCAACCACTGAGACACCAGGGAAGCCCCGGAGGCATTTTTAAATATATTTTGTTCATGAAGAATCTGAAGCTTAGGGAGTTAAAATGACTTCTTACGACCACATAGTTTATTAGTGAAGGGCCCTTAACTAGCTCTTCCTTGTCCTGACTTCCTAGTGTAGATAATCTATCCTGATGTTAATAGAATAATACTGTGCTGCCTCCCTTACGTCCAGGGCCTTGAAGAAGGAGAGTTGAGTTCCGTTCACATTTTGCTCGTATCCATTCATTCAACATTTATTAAGTATCATAAAATACTGGTTACTATGGGAATACCAAAGAAGATAGGAAAAGTGATCATTCGCTTGCTAGTTATCTTTGGCCTGGTTTTTCACTTTTTGCCTACCATTCTAACTGTAAAATAGGCTAATCCTCTTTGTCCCCCTTCCCTCTCAGCAAAGACCACAAAAAGACCATTGTTTCTCTATCCGCTAAGATACTATTAAGTAAGTAAGACACTAAGCTTGGTGGTGAGGATGCTAGAGCCAAGAATTATGACATGTATCCTGACCTCAAGAAGCTTATAGTCTAGTAGGGGAATCAAAATATATGTACAGATGATTGAAGTACACAAAGCAGAGCATAGTAATGGCTTAGGAAAAGGACAAGTGAAGTACTGTGGAAGAGAGAAGTTGAGAGCAGACTTGGAGAGATTTCACCTCTACCTTTCCATCATCTGGGCCAGGAGTCAGAGGTCTTAAGTAAAAATTAAGTGGCTTTGTCACTTATGTGCTTTGTGTTCTTAAGCAAGTTTCTTAATCTCTTTGGGCCTCATTTTTTCATCTGTGAAATTGAGATAGTAAATACACTACATAGTTAATACTAGGATTTATTTAAATTATGTTGTGAATATTTCTAGCTGAGAGCTTGGTCTGTCGTGAGAGCTGTAGTAAAGAAATGTCTGTTCATGTGAAGTGTTTTGTAAACTATAAAACATGTGAATATAAAACTACTCTTGGGGCTTCCCTGGTGGCGCAGTGGTTGAGAGTCCGCCTGCCGATGCAGGGGACACAGGTTCGTGCCCTGGTCCGGGAGGATCCCACGTGCCGTGGAGCGGCTGGGCCCGTGAGCCATGGCTGCTGAGCCTGCACGTCCTGAGCCTGTACTCCGCAACGGGAGAGGCCACAACAGTGAGAGGCCCGCGTACCGCAAAAAAAAAAAACAAAAAAACTACTCTTATGTACATTTTAAATGTTCTGAAGTGGCTTCTTATTATTTATAGCAATTCTTTCGGTAGAGCCTAGCTTACATATTTTCTAGTGGTCTTCCTTTCTTTTGGTAGAAAAGAAAGGGCTTTTTTTTTTTTTTGGCCATGCCGTAAGGCATGTGGGATCTCCATTTCCCGATCAGGGATCAAACCCGCACCCCCTGCATTGGAAGGGCAGAGTCTTAACCAGTGGAACGGCAGGGAAGTCCAGGAAAGGGCTTTTTAAATATTGTTTCCATATCTCGGAATAGCAGCATTTGGAACATCAGATTGCACCAGTACTATGTTTGTATTTGTCTCAATGTTCTGCTGATAGCTCCCTGATACCAGTTTGGAGGTGTCAAGTTCCAGACATTATATAGGTAGGACTTAAAATATGGAAAGAACAAACCATGCTTTGACCATTATGTATAAATGAAAGCACTACTTCCTTCTCTCTTTTTCCACACTCTAGGCAGGATGTAGCCAATCAAATGTGCACCAAGACCAAGGAGGAGTGTGAGAAGCACTACATGAAGCATTTCATCAATAACCCTCTATTTGCATCTACCCTGCTGAACCTGAAGCAAGCAGAGGAGGCAAAAACTGCTGACACAGCCATTCCATTTCACTGTAAGTACCTCCCTGTATCAGTAAGAGAGTTCAGTATTTAGCTTATTATAATTAATCATCTCAGTGTTAAGTCCAAGAAGCAATTTGTTATTTTTGTCCACTTGGTTGTGGTAATAATAGCAAACTTTTCGTTGTCTTTTTTTTAATTTTATTTTATTTTTAATTAATTAATTTATTTTTTTTGCGGTATGCGGGCCTCTTCCGTTGCGGAGCACAGGCTCCGGACGCGCAGGCTCAGCGGCCATGGCTCACGGGCCCAGCCGCTCTGCGGCATGTGGGATCCTCCCAGACCGGGGCATGAACCCATATCCCCTGCGTTGGCAGGCGGACTCTCAACCACTGCGCCACCAGGGAAGCCCATCGTTTTCTTTTTTTTAAATCTTATGTGACTTAGGGACTCATGGGTCTTCTAACAAAACGTAACCAAACCCATGATGAATTATAAATGGACATCTTTGCTGAATGACTCCCAGAGCATGAGTAATGAAATATGAATGTTTTTCTTTCCCCGCCTCTTTCCTCATACTCTCTGGAAACAGTTTCATAGGTGACTAACTCAAAACCTGATGATACCTCCTATTTGGATAGCCCTTTGGATGTTAGCACTTTGTTCTCAAATGCCTTAGACCATTTCTTCCTCATGGCAACCCAGTGAGACAGGCAGAGCAAGTGCTTTTGTTTTGCACACAAGGAAACTGAGATTCAGAAAGGTTAAATAATTTGTACAAGGTCATGGGACTAGTGGATGTTACAGTAGAGCCTGCACTCAATTCTGGCTTACTCCAAATCCAGTGGGGTTTTTTGCCTGTCAGTTGGATGGGATTTGTAAATTGAGATTGGTCCTAAGGGGTAAGGGAGCTGAAGCAGACAGGGTAAATACTTAAGTTCTGTAATACTGAAGAAAAGATCCTTGATTTTCTTTCATATTAGGAAAGCAAAAATAAGAGGGAATTTCTGTATTTACTTAGAGGATTCCCTAAGTCTTAGTTTCCTTTTCAAGAAATCAATTTGTTTCCATTACTACTTTATCTTTCTTTACTTTTTCTTTATAAAAATCTCTTGCATTTTATTTATCCTCTCAGACGCTGTCTTTCTCCAAACAAAAATATTTCAGAGTCTAAATTAGGACTTGCTTTGTGTCACTTTTTTATGCTAGTATCTTATTAAGTAACTAAGAAAAACTAAATTCTTTCAGCTACAGATGACCCTCCCCGACCTACCTTTGACTCCTTGCTTTCTCGGGACATGGCGGGATACATGCCAGCTCGAGCAGATTTCATTGAGGTGAGAGAAACTTGTTTTTGTTTAGGATGAGGCTCTCTCTCTTACCTGTAGGTTCCATGCCACTAAAAAGAGATTTTCGTAGCGCTGTAACTTGTGGAGCCGCATTTTCTCCATTTGAGTGCCTTTTTCTCATTTGTAAATCTTTCATTTAGAAAGGTAAAAGTTCTTCAGAGCAAAAACTTATTTCTTTTAAATTATTTTATTTTATTTATTTTTATTTTTGGCTGCATTGGGTCTTCGTTGCTGCGCGCGGGCTTTCTCTAGTTGGGGGGAGCGGGGGCTACTCTTCGTTGCGGTGCGCAGGCTTCTCATTGCAGTGGCTTCTCCTGTTGCAGAGCACGGGCTCTAGGTGCCTGGGCTCCAGTAGTTGTGGCACGGGGGCTCAGTAGTTGTGGTGCATGGGCTTAGTTGCTCCGCAGCATGTGGGATCTTCCCAGACCAGGGCTCGAACCCGTGTCCCTTGCATTGGCAGACAGATTCTTAATCACTGCGCCACCAGGGAAGCCCCAAAAACCTATTTCTGAAGTTTCACTCCACATCTAGGGGGTTTCGAGGTTGTACTATATCGGGGGTTGGCAAACTTTCTATTAAGGTCCAGATAGTAAATATTTTAGATTTTGTAGACCATAAATTCTCCGTTGGAACTAAACTTTGCCATTATTATGCAAAAGCAGCATAGATAATAGTAAACAAGTGAGCAGGCCTGTGCTCCAGTAAAACTATTTACAGAAATAGGCAGTGGGCTGAATTTGGTCTATAGGCTGTAGTTTGCTGACCTCTATACTATATTCACAAGTTTATAAAGAATGATGAATGTGTATAAAAACTACATGTTCTTCATTCAGCCCTGGAGTTAAAAGCCACGTGAATGTAGTCACAAGTCTCTTGATTTATCACCTAATCCGCAATTAGAGTACTCTTGGAGGTCATTAAAGTTTAGCAAACCACAGACAATTTTGCTAGCCACACCCAGGTCAGCATTTTGTTCATGGCAGCTGCAATTGTAGAGCTACCTCAGAGACACTACCCCTACAGATTGTAGTCATTGAATAGAACATGAACAAATCTACCCACTGAGCTAGGTAAGCAATATTATGGGATAAATAGAGCCCTAGATGGTGGTAAAAAGGTAGATGAATTAATGCAGGCAATTTTCTTACCTAAATATTGGTTAGGCCAAAAAGTTGGTTTGGGTTTTTCCATAACATCTTACAGAAAAACCCAAACGAACTTTTTGGCCAACCCAATACTCGAAGGGCTAGTAGGAGTTAAGTTTTCTTGAGTTAGATTTCATGAACAGACTATTTTTAGTTTTTAGAACAATATGTTTGGCTTTATTCCTGGACTCATAACTTTCTCACTTTTTGCTGTCACTGCTGCCTGAAAGCCTCTCAGTTTTCTCCCATGACTTATTTACTTATGGCAGTTGTCCTGGCCCTGTACTCCATTCAGTACTTTTTAGCAAGTGTTTGTTTATGTATTTGCTTCTAAAGCATGGCTCCTGTAAAGGCGTTACTCAGAGCTGATGGATTTTAGATGGGAATTTTTTTTTCCCCAAACAGGAGTTTGACAATTATGCAGAGTGGGACTTGAGAGACATTGATTTTGTTGAAGATGACTCGGACATTTTACACGGTAACATTTTATTACAGCCAGTGTTTTTATTGATTGCAGACTGTGATGACACTGTATTGGGTGCTAGAAATATAAGAATGAATAAAACATGTCTCCTGCCCCTTATGGGACCCAAATTACAGTGGTTAAGTTGCTGAACTTACCCTGTTGCTGGGATTTGACCACAGTGAGAAAGATCATTTGTGATGGTGGTGAGAATGTTGATCACATAAGGGTAGTTGGGAATATCCCATCCCTTGGACTGTGTAAGCTTTCTTTTGGCTGAGATAAGCCTACACTGAGGTAATTGGTTAAATGGCCCTCACTGCCTCCTTAAAAGAAAGGGAATCAGGGTGAAGACCTTGGGACTTCAATAACAACTGCTGATACTAGATGTTCACTATAATTTGTTATGCAAAATTTCCCATAGCAGGGGAAAAGAATGGAAGTTCAAGAGTTTTTAGACCAAGATTGGAAATCTCTTGTTTCTCAGAACTGTTGAATTTTTAGCACTTCTGAATTCTCATCTAAGATTAACCCTCTAAGGATTTATGTCAACTCTTTTGTTATAACGTAAATGGCTAATGCCAACAAGGCTTTCAAAAGTGGATGGTTAGACTTTCAGTGAATGTCTTTTTTTCCTTCTTTCCATTTTCAGTGAACTACATATTTAAAATAATCCCCAATCTTCTGTTTCATTTCAGCCCAGAATTGAGGGTGATGCAGTAGGTGAATAATGCTCCTTTGGATTCTGTATTTCCTAAACAACATCTTCATTGCTTTTCTTAAATGTATATCCCAGGTAGGAAAGGCAAGTTAGAATCCTTGTTGCATTTTAAATCAAGTTTTCATGTTGCATTAACTGGTCCTCTGTCACTTGAAGGGGAGTTTTATTCTTCTCTCCGCAGAAGAGCTGACTAGATATTTGTTACATCAGATCTGGGACCAAGAAAGAGTCCTCATAAAAATTTTACCTTTAGAGTTTTTTCTCTACATATTTCTTGAGCAGTTTTTTTCTTTGCAAAATTTCATTTCTCTTCTCCCACACAACTTTAAGGAAAGTCAAAGTGACGTAGATTGAACTAAAAGAGGAAAGCTTTAAAGCAAACTGCTTTAGCATTCACTAGAGCCATTGTGTTTGTTCAGTCTTCAATGTCAATCTCTGCTTTTCAACCCTGATAATTCACGTTATTGTCTATTCTCACCTCGTGTGTCATTCTCTTGAAGGCAGCGTGCAGGTTGCCATTCAGTATTCCTCATCATACACACCAGCTTTAATTAAAATGGTATTGTTTCCTGGCTTATATCTTTCTTATCCAGAATACAAAAAAGCAGTTTCATAAATATCATTCTTTTAGATAGTATTCAAAAGTACTGAACTTTTGAAAGTCAAAATCTCTTATGTCAGTCATGGCTCAACTATGTAAGGGACTTGCTGAATCACTTCTCCAGGCCCTAATCCAAGGTCTTCATTCTTAAGCCTCAACATTATTAAGAAAACTGTAGTAATGGTTGGTATTTAATTTCACTCTTCATCCTTTGTGAAAGCATGATTTGCAATTTCTGCTGGTATACTTATGGTCCCTTCTGTAATTAAGTGAGGGCAAAAGGGAAAAAAATCAAAAAGAAGCAATTGATTAGCAAGTTTTATTTCAGTTAGCATTTCAAACCTATAACATACTTTAGTTATTTGTGTTCTTTCTACAGTTTCTACAGCCTTTTAAGTTATTTGATTCTAATTCATTTGAACTAAGAATCAGTTATTGATTGTTATACATAAGTAGTTTTTGTTTTTTTGTTTTTTTAATTAATTAATTTATTTATTATTTTTGGCTATGTTGGGTCTTCGTTTCTGTGCGAGGGCTTTCTCTAGCTGCGGCGAGCGGGGGCCCCTCTTCATCGTGGTGCGCGGGCCTCTCACTATCACGGCCTCTCTTATTGCGGAGCACAGGCTCCAGACGCGCAGGCTCAGTAGTTGTGGCTCACAGGCCTGGTTGCTCTGCGGCATGTGGGATTCTCCCAGACCAGGGCTCAAACCCGCATCCCCTGAACTGGCAGGCAGACTCTCAACCACTGTGCCACCAGGGAAGCCCCATAAGTAGTTTTAACAGCGCTTATATAATAATAATCCCTGCCTCTCCTTTCCCTCCCTGTCTAGTAGTGAACGGTAAGATGTTTAGATGGGTGCTTTTTAAAAGGTGATAACGTCATAAAGAGGTTTGGCAGGACTGGAGATCAAAGGGAAGACTTGCTGGTGCCACAAAGGGATGCTTTGTTTATGGTTCTAAGTTCTCATATTAGCTCCTTTGGCAGTATGACCCACTGTCCAGTTGGGCACATATTGTTCCAGCAGTTTCTCCTGGAACTCTCAGTGAAGGGGACTAGGAGCCCAAGGAAACTAGGAGGGAATGAGAAGGAGCTTTCTATGCACACCTAGAACAGAAAGAGGGGCACATATTTTGTGCACATCAGGACAGTGATTCAACCTCAGGCTTGCTTCTGAGTCACTGTGATCTTGGGCAAGTCCTTGGAAATTTGCATGCTGTTTCTTTGTGTCCCTGGCCAGCAAAGAACAGATGATGCTGATTAGTCAGGGTGAATGTCTCCAATGAAACGTGGTACATAATTCAGATTGGTGTTATTGCCATTCCATTATACCATTATACTCCTAATATTACTGAGCATTAATAACATTCCTTTTACGTTTCCTCACAACTACTAGAAGGAAGTAAACTGTTTGGCTGGGCTTTGTATCCCATCCCCTAGAAAGACTACATCTAGAAAATTGGGTGATGCCAGGAAGCTCTTTTCCTCACCCAAGACTTTTGCTGTGATTCACGGAATTTGTCTAATAAAGGGGGTTTAAATGGTCCATTATAGAGGCCTGGGACACAATGGAGGGACATGTAATTACATTCCACCATACCAGAAGTCTTTCAGAATGAGCCCCCAAAAGATATTGCATGTGAAGTAGTGTCTAAGGAAGAAAATAAGGAGGTTCTGAGATCCCTAAATGACACCTCCTCGTATTTTATTGAAATAAACAGAAATTATTGGTCCAGAGAGAGAGATGCAAAAGACATAACTCGGCGCTCCCTGTGGCATGTTGTGTGATGTCAGTGCAGACACACAGCATAGTTTCCTTTTCCTTAGGGGACATCGCTCTCCATCTGCTTTCATTTGGGGAAATCTCTCCTAAATTTGTGGACTCTTCTTTCTCAGAGTTTCACAGGTGCTAAGCCCTGTGTGCAGCATCTTCTAATCATCGCTGGCCCATAACCCAGGCAAGCAAGAGGCATCAAGAGCTCCTTCCTCTGCACTGGGCCTGTGTTTTCAGCACTTCTCAGGGTTGCACATTAGAGCAGTTTACTCTCCTTCTATTTGGAAAGCCAATTTCAGCAAAATTTCTTGGCCAGATGTGGATACTCCCCCACTTTTTCCCCCCAAATTTTCTTTCTTTGGTCCGTATTGTCAGCCTTTAGAGCCTTTAACAATTAGTCAGTCAGAGGTCCAGCCTGGTCACTGTGCCTATTACCTACCTATTGGCAGTGCCCTTCCCTTGATGGTGATTTGGCTGCTTTATGTTTAGGACTTTTTAGACATAAATGCTATTAATAATAATAGCTAATACGTATAGCACTTACTATTTGCCAGGTACCATTTAAGTCCTTGACACACATGAACTCATTTAATCCTCACAAAACTCTCTGGGTTAGGTGTTATTACTATTACCCCCATTTTATAGATGGGAGAATTGAGGAGCAGAAATCTCAAATAACTTGCCTGAGGTCAAGAGGTAACCTGCAAGTGGCAGGGCCATCTTGAGTCTATGCTCTTAATACTGTGCTATACTTAATGTCTCTACAACCTTGAACCTTTTTTTTTTTTCTTTTTAGATTTCACATTTTTTATCTTCTATAGCTTAACCACATTTCTGAGAAGTGGAAATCGATATTTTCCCATTCTACTTTCAGAGAAATGCACAAAGGAGTGAAGTGACTTGGCTAAGCCTTCCTAGTTGCTGACTTCAACCATTAGGTCACTTGGTTGGCTTTCCTTCATAGCGCTGCTTGCGTACATCTCGGCCAAAATCTTTGGGGGGAAATGACTTAAAAAGCTTTGCTTCTGGGGAATACCTGAGTCACAGGTTTGTGCCTGTGCGCTTGCAGTAGGGCTTTTGATTGGCTTCCCTGTAGTTAAGGCCTCTGAGTAGGTTTTCTTGCCAAGCAAGCAGTAGGTGCCTTCTGTCAGGAAAACAGAAACATGTTGCCAGCTATTTTGAACAATGTTAGAAATACACTGCAGTGGGAAGGAGCTGCCTCTGACTTCTGCCCACTTCTTGAAATATTTTAAGGCCAGCCGTTTGGAAACTTTGTTATCAGTCCCCAGTGTGGTCACAGGGAGACTAGTCATCCCCCGAAACTGAGATTTCAGAGGCCTGGCATCGGTGGAGAGGTTATGGGTGCTTTGGGTTTGTTTGTTTCTAAGGAGCTCTGTGTCTTTGCCTGCTTTACTAGACCCTCCACTCACTTTAAGTAGAATATGAACCTGTGATTCTCATTCTTTCAGCGTCTGCCTCTCATTTCTGTTCTGCCTGCCGTGCTGTGGTCCTCCCTGGGTTATTCGTGCAGTTAAGATCTTACAATCAGTTGCTGCTATCGGAGTGTGCTTCATAAAGACAAGGGAGAGCTTCAACTATGAATTTTTCTCTGGGAGAATTCCAGTTCTCCCATTTGTTTCTCTGTGTTCCCTTCCTTCCCTTTGTTCTCCAGGGCCAGTTGTACAAGTTTAAACTACTGAAATGATCAAGCACCAGAACCATTTATCAGCAGGATTTATTTATAGAGTTTTTCTGTAACACAGTCTCTTCAGTTTTTTTTCTGTTTAATTAAGTCATTCCCACACAAATCTCAAGAAACAACATGATAAGTTAGTGTCTTAGAAAAATTACCGAAATCTTTTGTCAAAATTAGCACTAACTTCCACTGGATCTTCAGGTAGTTTCTTTCATGTTGAACTCATCTTATTATTGAGTAGATAAACGAGATAAGGCACCTAAAGATCCTGGAACATGATAAATACTCAGTGGATGTTAACTATTTACTTAGCTATTTTATTTGCTTCTCTTTCTGCCTTGAACTGTTGACGTCCTAATTTCTCTTTCTCATAAGAAGTAAAGGTAGAGTCCACTATAAAACTCGTACTTGGTTGCTCTGCATGTCAGAGACAGTTCCTCTTCTCCCCATGCCTCCTTCCTCTCCCACCACATAGTTATGTAAAGCGCATCTCCACCAGCACAGCGTTCTAGAGCCTATCATTCCCCAGCATTTATTAGGAAACACTGGCAGGGTATGGGGCATTCTGTGGTACCTATGCTTCTGTATGGAACGCATGTAAATCAAGAAAGAGTTCATTTACAGAAAGAGTTCTGCAACCTGAAAAAATGTTTGAAAACCATTGCCTTAAATCTTGGACCTGATATTATTGAATTAGTTTTAGTTTGTGGGCAGTTATGAGGAAAACTGAAGCAATGTTGTTTAAATTTTTGAACTTGTTAGAAATGAACAAAAGATCCATGATAGTTAATACTTTTTTTTTAATACTTAAAGTTTAAAAAGTATTGCGGTCATTCATCTCTTCAGGTCATCCAGCTAGAATTTATGTTATTTTTATCTCAGACCCAAGGGAGAATGGCCTGGATAAAGTATTCCTGGTCATTTCCCAGTGATTGAAGTTATATACAGATGTAGTGCATCTGCTCATAGCTCAGCATGCTAGATTTTGGTATTTCTTTCTTCTAATCTGAAACTCTGACAGATGTTAATTTCTAGTCCATGTGTTACTAAAGTTCAGACTCCTTGTTGAACTGTTTTATGAAAGCTAATAATATACGTAGCAAAGCATGGTCAAAAGAGATGTTCAGGAAAAAGCAGAAATTGTTATCTATAGCGTAATCCCATATAAACATATACTTAGGAAAAAAGAACTTTACTGTAATTTACTGATACAGAAATTCACTATCCTAGGGTATTTTTGGTTCCAAGAGACAGATTTCCTAGACCAGTGCGTGTGGAATAGTTAGCAGTATGAGGTTGAAAGTTTAGGACAGCTTGGGCAAAAGATTTCTTCTTGTCTTGGCTTTATTTATATGTAAGGGTTTGTTTGTTTGTTTGTTTATAGCTCTGAAGATGGCTGTAGTAGATATCTATCATTCCAGGTTAAAGGAGAGACAAAGGCGAAAAAAGTAAGTCTAGAAAACCATCCTGCCTTCTTTTGGCTTTGGACTATTGACCACATATAGCCCATAAGAGCAAGTTCCACTTGTGGCTCATCTTAGGACCTTGAGGAATACACTTAACCTCCTTGGATCTCAATTTTTCCATCTGTTAAAAGGAGATAATAATACCTCTCCTTTTCTTGCTTTTTAACCTCCTCCTTCCTTACCCTTTCTTGATGTTTTGGTGACCAATGAATAATATGGACACGGTGTTTTAAGGAAAAAAGGAACAAGAAAAATTCAAGATATTATTAAGTTGTTACACTTAATAATGCTCTATTCTAACTGCTCAATTTTTATGAGAAGTCTTTTATATACAAGGATTTCAAAGAAATTATGAACAAGTTTCAGTCACTCTTGGTTATTCCTTCTCTTTGCAACAGAACAAAAAACATACATTGAGGCTGAGAAATTATGGATCCCAAACCCCTATTGGATTACAGAGACTTTAACAGTTCAGAGAAGGGTATGCGGAGGATGTGTATGTATGTGTAGGCATGTTACCATGGTGTTAATAACTAGAGATACAGTGGCATCACAACAAGAAAAAGGAATGGGACTTGGGAGGCACTCTGGAGGGACCAAGACATGATCTGAAGTAGAGCTTACTCTCTGCGTGTCTGGAGTTAGCTTCCAAGAAGCTCTGAAGAAGATTACCCAGCTGTTCTTGTGAGAAGCTTCATTGCTAGTCATGAATACCTCCGGTATAAACCAGAGGTTCCAGACACGTAACTCTGCATGGTTTACCTAAATTCTGTTTCTCTTAAAACATGGAATTAGAACTAGACAGTGCTGTAGAACTCAGTAGTTGAGGTCGCTATTAGATCTTCTGTTTTATGATGACCTTCCATTAAACATGCACAAGATTTATTTCAAATAGCTTCAAGGCATTCTGTGAATGTACAGTTGTAAATGTTGAGTGTGTGATCACAGATTTCCCTTAAACGGCTGTTCTCAATTATCATTTCCCTAAGCTGAATAGATGATTTTTATGATATGGACACAGATTCCCTTCTGTTTCATCTAAGTTACAGACGTGTTTTTCACTATTTGAGTGCTTATTGATCTGTTCATTCATCCAGCAGATAGTTATTGAGAATCTGCAGTGCCCAAGGAGAGGAAAAATATATGATGCTTGAGAGCCTAAAATTGTGCTAGAGACTTACTGACCTGCAGAACTTTGTGGGGAATGACTTCTCTGGACCTCAAGATTCCCCCTTGCAGTGTTTAGGATGTCTAATGAAAGCTGTGTGTGGAAAACATTGTTAAATGTGAAACTGATTATCATATATATGTTTTTCATTCTAGAATTATAAGAGACCATGGATTAATCAACCTTAGAAAGTTTCAGTGTAAGTATTAGTTTTCCTTACTTTAAAATTTCTCCCAATATTATTGAATAGTTTTAAACAAATCATTTATGACAGTAGTTCTCAATCAAAGTTGCATATTAGCATCACCTAGGAATCTTTAAAAAATTCTGATCCCTGGGGCTTCCCTGGTGGCGCAGTGGTTGAGAGTCCGCCTGCCGATGCAGGGGACACAGGTTAGTGCCCCAGTCCGGGAAGATCCCACATGCCGCGGAGCGGCTGGGCCCGTGAGCCATGGCCACTGAGCCTGCGCGTCCGGAGCCTGTGCTCCGCAACGGGAGAGGCCACAGCAGTGAGAGTCCCGCGTACCGCAAAAAAAAAAAATTCTGATGCCTGACAGTCACCTCAGACTAATTAAGTCAGAATCTCTGGAGGTAGAACTACAGCATCTGTATTTTTTTAAAGTCTTCAGGGCAATTCTGTTGCATTGTAAGAGTTACAAGCCATTAATATATGGTCAATAACACTAGCATGAGAATTCTTTTTTTTTAAATTAGTATAGTAATTAAAGCATGAATATTAATGGATCATTTTCTGAAACTGGATAGGGTTGTGTTTTGGAATTATATGTTAAACATAAAATAACTTTGACCATCAGGTTGTGAAAATATTTTTATGGAAAAAAATTAACAGAAAATGATAGCTTTATTTTGCATGGTCGGGGCAAACAAACCAGAAAAGACATTAGCATTGTATGATGATGAAATAAACCTATGATTTTTAAATGATTGCTAACTTTGACCTTACTTTTAAATATTTGGCGATAACCTATGCTGGGCAGAAAGAGTCTCTGTACTTTTTCTTCTTCTACACTGTAGAGTTTGTTCAGAACATAAGAATGATGATATCATAATAATTGCAATATTTATATATGTTTATAATAGTTATATGTCACAAGACTTTTTTTTTGTAAAAGTGCCTAATGATCGTGCTTCACATGCTAAATTGATGGAATCTTATAGGGTTTGACAGTCTGTGCCAGGAGGGTTCAGGTCAGCCAGTCTTGGGTTAAGTATCATTTAATAGAGTCGTGGTCATAAGTAGGTTACATTATATGTCCTTTACTTTTTCACTTTCCATTACACACATTATGGTGTTTTGATGATGTCACTTCTAATAGTTACATAATATGTTGTATAGATACATAAATATATAATGAAGTGCTTAACCTGTCTTTTATTATTAGATCTTTAGCTTATTTTCAGTGTTTTTCTAATCATTATAAATAAAGCTAAGGTAAACTTGTTTGTGAATAGAGCTTTGTCTGTATTTAGAATTGTTTTTTTAAGATAGATTCCCAGAAGTGGAATTAAATAGGTCGAAGAATATGATTATTAAAAATGCTTAACACATGCTGCCAGATTGTTTCCTAAAAGATGGTTTTATCAATTTATATTCCTTCTAGCAGTATGCAGTATTGCCTATTTAACCTCGTCCTCATCGAGAGCTGTGGGTTTGCAAAAATAACCCAAGGTCAGATCTCCCTTGCCCTTTCTGTAGACAATAATTGGTCACGTTCTGATAGCCACAGTAGTGGGTTCCTTTGTCTGAATTCCTGGGCTTTCCACGATAGGTCAGTTGATTTTAACCATTACATAGTAGACCTTGACTCTTGTATAAATTCTGTTCTCAGCTGGTGGACAGAGGTCAGTTTAGCCTCTTTATTCTTTTAACTGTATTTCTTACATACAGAGCTGAGAGGAAGCTCTGTTGCTTCCAAGAAAGAAGTGGTATGTGCGTTGTGGTTTGAGAGGTCTTCAGTTGCCATTATACTGAATGTACATGTGACCTTAATATGTAGGCATAGGAGTTTTTTTCATCAAATTAAAAAGTTTTACTCCAAATGTTTCTGTATTATCCCTATAGAGGGGGACGGGGGGGTTGGTGGTGAAAATAATCAATTTGTGGCTGCCCATCAAATCAGCTCCTAGAATTTGTGGGCAAGAATTTCTCCTGCAAAGAAAGAGATTCATCTGAAAAGAGGACTTGATTTAAGTAACTGTCATAAGTGATAGCCTGTATCTTTAGCCTGAGAGTGGACAAAACTAGCCTAGTTACTTTTATTGAAATGACTGAGTAGCAGTTCGAGAGTTCCTGGCCACTCCAACCTACCAGTTACTATTGGTGGGTTTTACTACCCATCTTTTTTGCTGATAGCTCTTTTTATTAGAAATTTGGTCAGTAGTGATCCTCAAAGTTGCTGACCCATGTGGGTATCCCAAATGGCATATTTGACCCTTCGCTTCCATCATAGTTATCAAAATATAACTTCATTAGTAGTACATTAAGTTGTGGTACCTAATTAAGTTTAGAGAAAGGCAAAATGACCCATGTAGAAAGTGAAGAAATAAATGCCTCATTTGAGGATATGTAGTTACAGAGATTTTTATTTTTGGTGGAGCGTGCAGGAGATCACACTTTTTCCAGGCTAATCTACCTCTTCTAGATGAATTAGTATGTCTGCACTTCCCTTGTTCTGCAGAAGTTATTTTTTATTTTTTTTAATTTATTTTATTTGTTTATTATTTTTTGGCCGCATTGGGTCATTGTTGCCACGTGCGGGCTTTCTCTAGTTGTGGCGAGCGGGGGCTACTGTTAGTTGCGGTGCGCAGGCTTCTCATTGCGGTGGCTTCTCTTGTTGCCGAGCACGGGCTCTAGGCGCGTGGGCTTCGGTAGTTGTGGCGTGTGAGCTCAGTAGTTGTGGCTCGCAGGCTCTAGAGCACGGGCTCAGTACTTGTGGCACACGGGCTTAGTTGCTCCGCAGCATGTGGGATCTTCCCGGACCAGGGCTTGAACCCGTGTCCCCTGCATTGGCAGGTGGATCTTAACCACTGCACCACCAGGGAAGCCCTCTGCAGAAGTTAATACCAGAGATTTTGCCCCACATTGTTTCTGAGAACACACAACCTAATTATCTTTCCCATTACTGCCAGTACTTCCTGCCCTTGTATAGATTAAGAGGCAGCAAGGTGTGGAGGTCTCCAGGGTGCTCAGCAGTGCAGATGCTCTCCAGTGATAACAACCTCTCTGTGTCATAGTCACTCTGATTCTCTTATCATTATGATTAGTGTGCTGCATTCTTAGCTTTCCAGTTTGCTTCCTGTCATTGGTAAGTTAGTCATATGAGGTTAGGAATAATGTTCTTCCATTTTACTTCTTGTAAAAAAAAAAATGCAGAAAACTTAGAGATCTTTATATTCTTTACTTTCTCTGTAGTAATGGAACGGCGGTATCCCAAGGAAGTCCAAGACCTTTATGAAACAATGAGGCGATTTGCAAGGATAGTGGGGCCAGTGGAACATGACAAGTTCATTGAAAGCCATGCATGTAGGTGGTTTTTTAACCTTGAGCAAATATATGTGTGTGTGTTTTTATATAAATAGTAGAGATAGTGGTGTGTTTTATGTGAAGTTCTGTAAATAAATAAGTGGATTTTTTTGTATTGCTTCCACTTTATTACTATGAGATTAATTTGGGACTTTGGGGGTGGGAGAAAAGAGCTTAAAAAGCCTAGTGGCTTGTTTTCCCCTCAGATAAACAATAGTTTAGTAGTTTTTCCCCCTTTTTATTATGGGAGTTTTCAAATACATGCAAAAATAGAGATCATAGTATAATGAACCCCATGTGTCCATCACCCAACTTCAGCAGTTATCAACACATGGCCAATCCAGTTTCATCTTTACCACCCACTCCCCTCCCATCCTCAACTGGATTATTTTGAAGCAAATCATATTATTATTATTATTATTATTTTGCGGTACGTGGGCCTCTCACTGTTGCGGCCTCTCCCATTGAGGAGCACAGGCTCCGGATGCGCAGGCTCAGCGGCCATGGCTCACGGGCCCAGCTGCTCCGCGGCATGTGGGATCTTCCTGGACCAGGGCACGAACCCGTGTCCCCTGCATTGACAGGCAGAGTCTCAACCACTGCGCCACCAGGGAAGCCCTTGAAGCAAATCATATTATTTTGTTCATAATTATTTTAGTATTAAAACTAGTTTTTTAAGTGGGGACAGAGTTGGACGACTCATCAAGATAGTATATAGTACTTCCATCATTTTCTTGCCTTTTTCCCTGAGAGAGCTCTATCTAGTTACCATTTGATTTCTCACTGTAAAAAATTGAAGTTGTTAAGGCAGTAAGGCCTAGACTATAAAACAATCTGGACTGGGGGGCTAAGTCTATACCTTTACTCATGAGAGTCAGGTGTTTGACCCCCAAGTTTAGTTCTGGAAGGGTACTTCATGAAGGCTCTTATCGTGTACCCATCATGCAGACATCTCTTGCCTGACACTGTAGGCGTGTATCTGAGCCAGGTTGGTTGTCCTCACCAGACACCCTGTTTGGTTGGCATTCTTTGTGTGATTTATCCTTCACTTCCCGTCCCAGTTTGTGCCATCCCTGGTTTATGTGTCACTCCAAAGAACAACACCCCATGGGTTGTCCAGGTTCTTCCTTCATCCTCTGTTTCAAAGCACCCAAATTTGAATGTTCTATCACATAATAACCCAAGCGGTGCAACCTGATCTATGTGCTCAGAGGAGGCAGAAATCTTTGATTTATGGAAAACACAATGCTCTTTTGTTCCTATAGGAGAAAAGCTGTAAAGAAACTATCCAGGACTTGAAGCCCAGAGCTTTTGTCCTTCCCTTGCAAAAGGGCCACATCAAGTAATACCAGAGACAGGTTTCATAAAAGAATTTGGTTTTGTGACTAGAGCTTTTAACAGAGAATAAATAGAGCAGGGAAACTTGGTGGTTTAAAAAAATTATATTCATTACTTCTGTAGCTAAATGAATTCAACCAGTTCACTATAAGTTTTCTAGGAAGCAGCTGGAGACAGAAGCCAAAAGACAGCTGGAGTACATTTTTGTCAGCTTTTGGGTAAAATTTCTAATGAGATATTAGCAACAATTAGGATTCCCCAAATGGAATTACCCAGTCTTTTATAGAAGGCAGAATTACTGAAAATATTCAACAGTAAAAGTGCTCATTAATGTTGATTTTGCTTTTCCAATTTTTCTCCTTTGTTGTTTTCGGGGGGATAAACAGTGGAATTCGAACTCCGAAGGGAAATCAAGAGGCTCCAGGAATACAGGACAGCAGGCATTACCAATTTTTGTAGTAAGTATGCTTAAGCTACACGCTAAATCAGAGGGCACGTCTTCCAAGCACATAGAGGGTGTCTCTGTTTGAGGTGCCATGGAGTTTTTTTTTTTAAACAAGCTTTCACATTTCAGAATGAGTTTTCAATCTTTCCCATAAAGTTTCACCTATTTAATCCTTATAAACTACCATTATATGGATTATCTGAGGTGAAATAAAAGTTATGACACAGAGAAAAGAGAGATGCTGTTTTAGATTTAGGATTCCGTTGTGGCCTCTGAAAAAAAGGATTTTGTATTCCAGTTTTTAGCCTCAGCCTTTTTAAATTTAGTGATGCATAGTCTGATCATTCTTATTAAGGGAGCTTCAACTGGTTCTAGGCGCTTGCATCCCAGTTACTTGAGGTAGTGATAATTATATTCATAGCAGTAACAGTTTACCATGCACCAGGCCCTACCCTGTGCACTTCACCTGGATCGTGTCATTTAATTCTTGTAACAAACTTATTGTTATTTTCATTTAATGGAGAGACTAAAGTTTAAAGTGATTAAGGAGCTAGTTGTAGTAGAGCCAGGTCATAAGGGAAGGTAGTGTGTGTTAGTAGTTAAGAGCTGAGGTCTAGACTTGGACAGCTTGAGTTTGAATTCTGGCTGTTCTTTCACCAGATCTATAATTCTGTTCATTTCAATTTTCCAAGTCTCTTAGAGTTAGTATGAAGATTAAATTAGAGGGACTTCCCTGGTGGTCCAGCGGTTAAGACTCCGCGCTCCTAATGCAGGGCACCCGGGTTCGATTCCAGGTCAGGGAACTAGATCCCACATGCCACAACTAAAGATCCCGCGTGCCGCAACTAAGACCCGGTACAGCCAAACAAATAAATTAAATAATTTTTTTTTTTTTTAAAAGATTAAGTTAGAGATAATGCATGAAAACATAGCACAGTACCTGGCACACAGTAAATCCTCAGTAAATGGCAGCTTCTGTCATTTTGTTGTTATTGTTGGAATGATCTTCGGCATTTCCTCCTCCTTGCTGTTGGTTGAAAGCTATCACCCACTGCTCACAAGAAGTAGCCCTGTGGGTATAAGTTCAGCCTACTGTAATGGCTCTTTATTTCTAACAATGGAAACAGTTTACAAAATGAAATTTTATGTGGGGCACTAATCCATAAATAAGATAAAAGTAGGACTACTTTGGTTGAAGTCTGATGGTTCAGGTCATGTGTGGAGCACAGGACCACTGGTATGTGCTGGTGCCCTTGCTCTTCTCCGTAATCCCTAAGATATTTTCATGGTATCCTGGGCCTCTGTGGAACACTGTTTGAAACCCACTGGTGTGATATTTTGGATCCTATATACATTTGTAACATGTAGAAAACACTATGCAACTGTTTATCAAGATGCATATAAAGGCTTGGGTTACCTGATACTGGTTGCCTCTGGGAAAGAGGGGAAAGGAATGGTACTGGTCAATGAGGATTTATTTTTATTTGTAATTCTAACTGGTTTTTAAGGAAGAGTGTATGTGTATAGCACTTGTGTGACTTGGAAAAATATATGGATAGAAAAATACAGAACAGGAAGTAAATATGACAGTGTTAAAAGTTACTTTTAGGGGATGGAAATATGAGGGACTCCTTGTAATTTTCTGTTTTGGGGATTTTTCCCCAAAATGTGTTAAAGGTAGAAAAGGAATAAAAATATTTTTATTTCTTGTCAAAAAAGGGATTTCAAACTAGGGGAAATGACTTTGCTCTTAGAAAAATGTGGAAGCAGTTTTGCAAAGGAAATTTAAAAATGACTGGGAATTCCCTGGTGGTCCAGTGGTTAGGACTCGGCGCTTTCACTGCGTGGGCCTGGAGTTCAGTCCCTGGTTGGGGAACTAAGATCCCACAAGCCTTGCGGCACGGCCAAAAAAATTTTTAAATTAAAGGTTAAAAAAGATGAAGTTTGCTGATGAGTGAGGAAACCCTTCGGTTAGTTCTGCTGCATTGTCATTGTAGTCACAGTGTTTTTTAATACCTCCAGGTGCCAGAACCTATGATCACCTCAAGAAGACTCGAGAAGAGGAACGCCTCAAACGCACTATGCTCTCGGAGGTTCTCCAGTACATCCAGGACAGTAGCGCCTGCCAGCAGTGGCTCCGCCGGCAGGCTGACATGTGAGGAATTACTCCAGGGGGAAGGAGCAACCTCTTGGAGAATTTGGCCTTTACCTGTATTTTCAGAGAATTCTGTGGGCACCCTATCCTACATGGCAGGGCAGTAATAATTGGGTGACTAGAAGAATTCAGAAAATTTTAGCAGGCAGTCTCAGAAACAGTACCACACTGGGCTTCCCTGGTGGCGCAGTGGTTGAGAGTCCGCCTGCCGATGCAGGGGACGCGGATTCGTGCCCCGGTCCGGGAAGATCCCACTTGCCGCGGAGCGGCTGGGCCCGTGAGCCATGGCCGCTGAGCCTGCGCCTTCGGAGCCTGTGCTCCACAATGGGAGAGGCCACAACAGTGAGAGGCCTGCGTACTGCAAAAAAAAAAAAAAAAAAGAAACAGTACCATACTGACAGTTTTGAGAAACATAACTGGCCTCCTAGAATCCTACTTTGCTACTTTGACCTTATTTTTTTTAATTAGTAAATTCCCCCCCCATGCTTTCTTTCTCCCTCTGTTTCTATTGGTATGATTTTCATTGGAGAATCATGTTCCTCTCCTTTCCCCATGAATGGTCTTTGTGATGTGCCAGGCCAAGAACTCTTCTTAACAAATCCAAGCAGTTTCCTTCTCTGGAACAGATTTCCTTTCCTAGGTAGTACAGTTGGGACATCCTGTAAAACATAACACAGTCTGTCGCATTACTTCTCTTCAAAGTAACTGACCTGATAAGTGTCACCCAGTCTCACATGGGCTTTTGGAAATGGCTTTCTTTGATGTGATGTAAGTTTAAATTCCTCTTCTTCTTTGTAGTGATTCTGGCCTGAGTCCTTCCGTACCAATGGCTTCGAATTCAGGTAATTATTTTTTAGGCTGGAGAGGTCTTGATTGTGAAGTTTTCATTCTAGGGGTTATGGTAACCCAGCAATCCCTTCAGCTGTGTGGGAGCTGGGTGCTTCGGCAGAGGAATGATAATTAAGTGTTATCCCAATTTATAAACATAAGCAAGTTTTTAGAATATTCATGGCCAAACAGGACTTTCCTCAGGTTTGGAGTACAAAGACAGGGGAAGAAAGAACTCCAGACAGGTGTTTTCTCTATTTTACCAATGTTCATGGGCAGTTAGTTTACTATGACGCTGTCTACCACAAACTTTGAGATTTGTCTCATAGGGGATAATTAGAGGCTTTGTATCCTATATGAGCAAAGAAACGTGTTACTTGCCAGAAAAGCAAGACTTTCTTTATAAGTTGGAGACTTCAGGTATTTCTATTTCTTATCTCTTTGGGTATTTCGTCTTTTGAGGTTAGTTTACAGAGTAAGATTAAGCCATATGCTATCTGGTAATCCTTGGTTCTTGGTAATCAGTGAATGGTAGTTTGGGGTGGTATTAGCTGTAGAACTGTGGTCCAAGATCATGGTGTTTCTTTGCCTGTTTTCTTGGTTATCATTCACCCCTGCTCCATATGGTAGAGTAGCCACTTCCCCTGGTCAGAACATACAGGCTGCTCCACTGATTACAGATTGGACTTGGCAAAAAGGTGACCCACTTGCAGTTTTACCATTTTTTGGAAGCTTGGAACAACAGACCTTGTGATCCCATTCATAATCTCTCAGATTCAGGATCTAGACAGGGCTCAGAAAAGGCGACTTCATGGATGATAATTTTTTTTCATTTATTCCTTTGTTTCAAGTAATAATTTCTTAATATTTAAAGGAGAAAAGAGTGTCTTTTAGGGAATAGCCAAGACAGTTAAATCCAAGTTTTTAAGTTTCTTACATCCAACCCCTCCCCAATCTAAATACAGAAATACAAATAACTTAATATTGGCTAATTAAAATGAATGAATGGACGTGACCAAGCTCCTCTGGTATTTGTGTTTTCTGAACCATTCACACTTGCTCTTTGCTGCGTCCTAGGTGGGCATTTGCCTTCCTCACGCCCTGTGTTTAGGTTGAGGCGACCCCTTCCTCCTCTTCACGCTCTGAGTTGCTCCTGAAGTAGTGCAGAGCTGGAAGCCTGGATCCCTGATCGTAACCCAGCCTCTGGGAACTTTGCCGAGGCAGCAAATGATCATAGTCTCCCTTTTTGAGCATTTAGGGTATGGCTAGGCCTGTCAGTTATGGAGAAGTCCTCATCCCCTTTGTTGATATTACAGAGAAGTCTGTTTTGCAGTACAGCAGGCTGCAACAGTCCATCCCCTTTCTCTCCACCACCTAAACCGGCAACCCCCATGAAATGTAACGTATTGCCCTGAATTTTCTTTTGTTTAACGCAGTCCATTCATTCAAGTATACATTCAAAACAAAACCAAAAGGTTTTGCACATCAGGCTTCCTATCCTGGGCGGTGACCTCATGCTTGGGTTTCTTTCTCAGGTTTGTGAGTTCACCTCAGCCTCTACTTTGCCATATAGTGGCTCATTCCTCTGTTCAGATCTTTCAGGTAAACAGGGCTACTTTGGAAGGAACAGATATTCCCTCACATAATAAATAAGGGCCTCTTGCTGGCCTGACACTCTGCCTTTGATCTCAAGGCGAATGGTACGTGGTTAATTACCATGTTTGCCTTGCACTGCCGGCAGAGTGGCAAGGGTTAGGAAATGTCTCTCGCGCAGAGTTGTTATTTCCATTCATCAGCTGTCACGGCAGGCAGCGTATGACCTTTCTTAACTGGACGACATCTGGGCTGTAGATTTTAGCATCTCTTACCGGTTTAGGAAGAATAGCCATATTTGACACTGAGGTATGTGTGATTATATGTGTATCTTATCAGAGCAGAGGGCACATGGCTTACCGTTTTTATTTTCAAGTGAACATTGGGATACCTGTGTTGCCAGACAAACTGAGGCCTGAGGAGTATATATACAGCTATGTATAGTAATCTTGTACCTAACTGGCCTGACTGTGGTGAACTTTGTTATACACTTTACACCTGAGGGACTGTCACTTTTACGAAATATATGCCTTTTTCTGTCTATATCTGTAGGTAGACGAAGTGCACCGCCCTTGAACCTCACTGGCCTCCCTGGCACAGAGAAGTTGAACGAAAAAGAAAAGGAGGTAACAAAAAGAAGGGGAGCTGGTTAGAAGAAAGAGAGTAGGGGCTGGTTATTCACTGAGTTGTCATTAAAAACATGTTATAGGATCAAACCCGTTTTGCTCTGTTCATGTCACACATGTGCATGTAACAGCTCTAGTCCATCCCAGAGGCCTAGGTGCTAAAGAGCTGACCTCAGCAGGTCCTTATCACCCAGCCACCATTCATCTCCTGAGAGAAGAACATATGAGATGTAAATCTAAATAATAGCAACTATCATTTATTGAGCATTTACCATGTACTAGATACTGTACTGTGCTTTATGTCAGTGAATTTAATTTTTTTCAAACTTAAAATAACTGGTATATGAAAATGATTATTTCCTATTAGAGTGGGCATTTTCAGAAGTTCTGCTGTTATTCCAACAATATGACCATCACTTAAAAGATTTTTGAATTGTCTGCATAGTATGTGTATAAGCATAAAAGAGGAATTCATCATCATATGTAGTCACACATTAATTTTGATTAAAAAAGCCATGACCTACTTTTCTTTTACATTATAATCACCGGATGTGTCTTCTTCATATTACTTTTGGCCGTTTCTAAACTTTAAATCCAGCCTCAAAACGGTCATCATCAAGCGTTTTCAAAAGAATGTGCCGCAACTCTCAAGTCCATTCCAAGAGAGGATCCTCTTTCGTTCCTCGTGTGCTCCTTTTACGGTTCCCAAGATCAGTGTCTTCAGCTGCCACTCTGTATCAGTAATTCAGGTCAGACAGTAAGGAAAAGTCATGGAGTAGGCGCTAGTATTAGTCTTCTATTTTACCCAGTAGGAACAGTAAAGGTTAGTTTGGGAGTAGAAGGAGGTGTATGTTATATCCAAGTACTGCTGAAGAAGTATTGCCATTCTGAATCAAGGGTGGAATGGCCTGGAGTTTCAAGCAGTTTTTAGCCTTACCCACAAAGTGGTAACCTCAGGCTGTTCATTTCTGGATAGTGGCAGGTGAACTGGAATCGAGCCAGGTTTCTAGATTTTTAGCAGTTAAAGCGACCTCTTAGCAAGGTCTCTATATCTCTTCTCCCTCCAGAGTAGGAAATGTAATCACAAAATCAGGGACTAAAGATTTATGCCGATACTAAAAATAATGCAATTCATACTTGGGAACCCAAGTATCAGCAGCCTCAACCGCACGGTGCCCTGTGGCTCCTCCCTGACTGGCTGAGCTGGAAGGTGCCGGGCCTCTACTCCACACCGCTCCTCAGCACACAGACTTGTATCCCTGACAAACCCAGGTGAGCCAGCCGGTAGGTGCTGGAGCTCTCCCGGCATCACACTCTGCCTTTTTCTGTCTGTCTTTAGAGAGTATTCTCTCCAAAGAAAAGACAAACTGGAATGTGATCTAGCCACCAGCAGCTCCTATAAATAGTTAGAGGTTGATGTCACTCTTTAAATTTTATTTTGGCTATACCTGCTGGATTAAATTATGAGAATGACAGATGTTAATGTTTATTAAATTTGCCATGTCTTGCAGCTCTGTCAGATGGTGAGATTGGTCCCAGGAGCCTATTTAGAATACAAATCTGCTCTATTGAACGAATGTAACAAGCAAGGAGGCTTGAGACTGGCACAGGCAAGAGCACTCATCAAGATAGACGTGAACAAAACCCGGAAAATCTATGATTTCCTCATCCGAGAAGGATACATCACTAAAGCCTGAGGCTCTCCGGGCCTGGTGGGCCAAAGGACAGTACGGGCATTGTGGAGTTTTGTTTTTGAGCTGAATTCTCCTTGTAAAAAGAGGGGAAGAACAAAGGAAACCTTAAGTTGTATTAACGTCTACTTTCTTCTCCACCCTGCTTTAAAATACTCCTGTTGTTGGTATTGTGCTGCAGAGTTATGTGCTAGATAAGCTATTATTAATTGTGTGTGGGCATTCATTCCTAACACCTCTTGTAACTAAAACAAGAACCATAGTACCTCACATCACAGTGTTGGTAGAAATAGAACTAAACCAGTCTTTAGTCCCAGGAGTCCAGCTCAGATCCTTGTACTTACTTGGGAGGTTGGTTTTCTGATTATCTGTTTTGCCTTCAAACATTACAGATTTAAAATAAAGAGGTTATAGAGAGAGAAAGCTTTCTCTTTCTGTCTGAGGATTCTTTTAAGCTGACAACTTATGTTTATGAGCAAAGAGAAGGAAAATCTCCCCATGATGGTCTTGTCCCAAACTGCATCTTCAACGTTAATGTCTGGCTTTGTAAGTTGAAGTCTGGCTGTCTAATCTGCAGTAGACTTTTGAGGAGGTGGCACTGGATATAAAATGTCTCTTATTTTTAGAATTAATGGATTAAAAATGTTTTGCTACTTACTTTGTGGGTGTGTCAAATATTCTGGTAACTAAAGCGCACTTAGGGGGTTGGATGCGCGCCTCATCACGCTGCACTGTCTCTGCTAGCATGTGTGTCCTGGGCTCACCCTGTTCTAACCCTTGGCTTCCCTGGATACCAGACCCCTGAGGATGGAGGTGATGCAATTAACCTCAGTGTTGCTTAGATTAAGACCTGAACCCTAATTTCTCAATGGTGAAAGGCTAGCCTACAATAAGAGCTACTTGTAAAACAAAAGGAAAGCCTTTTCATATATGGAACTCACTAGATATGAGGATGAGTGACCCCACCACATCTGAAACTTGGTCCTCAAATCTTTCTGCACAATAAGAAGCCAAACTCAGAGTCAGGGTTTTTCCCTTTTCTGTTAGAAGCAAAGTTATATAGAAATACTTCAGAATCTGCACAAATTACCTCCAGTAGCTGACTGATTTCTTTAATTCTTTCAACATTCAAAATATCTAATTCAAATATTATATGCTTTGTTGGAAGTATCTGCTCAAACTTCTTGACTGCTGAAAATATGCATGCAGTTTGCTAATAGACTTCATCTAGGGGATAACGAATGAAAAGGAAACTCGTAGGATCTGAGGGAAATAGAATAAAGGACTTCAGTGTTTCAAAAGGGCGGCTTGTGGTTTTCTTGATATAGTCCTGTCTCTTAGAAAACGTATCCTACCACCAGCATCACCCTGAGTTGCTTATAAAGGGGTTGCCTCTTATCCTTGGAAGGCAAGTCCTGTTCTAAAAGTGCATTAGACCTCTGTGTCAGGTGATGTCTGCTGTAGTCTGAGGAGTCCTTGATCTTGATTAAGGAAGGCTTCCTGGGAGAGGTGCACTTCTGAGGCAATGATAAGACGGAGATGAGAGAAATAAAATGGCAGATGGAAGTGGGAGACTGTTCCAGACGTAGTAGGTGGAGGGTGATGAGTAAGGAAAACAGTGCCAAGAGATTTAGCTGGCTAGTACACAAGGAGCAGCTGCGGTGCTTAGGGCTGGGAGGATGGCGGATGGCAGGACAGTCTGATAGAAGCCCTGGAACAAGTTGAAGTCTGAAAAACTGACTGGCGAATCAGTAGACTGGATGAAGAAAGTGGCATTGTTGAAAAGAGTGACAGAAAAATAAGGCTATAATTTCAAATGACTGGATTTTAGAAAGGAGGATTACTATGGTTTTGGTAAGCCCAACTTCACAAAATTTAAGACCTAGAATCCTAGTGGGTTTCTCAAAGATCAAGCCATAATTTTGGGTGAGGAGTACTCTTGAAAGGCGTCGTTAGAAAAGCACTTGCTGACGTTTGATGTCGATCACTAGCTTAGTACATTATTTCCTTCCATCTTCTTGTCACCAAAGGAAGGCCCTTCTTGTTACTAAAAATCCAGAGCTAGCAAGGATGTTCCAAAGAAAATTCCATCCTTCCCCTTTTCAACTAGATGGGATTGGCCATAAACCAACTCCACTAATTTAGGTCCTTCTTGGTGCAGATCATCTCAGAAGAAAGAGAGTTTACTCTGAAACTCAACAACAATGAACTATGAAATAAAGACCTTTAACTGCTAGGAACTTTATTACAATTTAAAGATTTCTGCTGGAATTTTTTTTTTTTTTTTTTTTGCGGTATGCGGGCCTCTCACTGCTGTGGCCTCTCCCGTTGCGGAGCACAGGCTCCGGGCGCACAGGCCCAGTGGCCACGGCTCACGGGCCTAGCTGCTCCGCGGCATGTGGGATCTTCCCGGACCGGGGCACGAACCCGTGTCCCCTGCATCGGCAGGCGGACTCTCAACCACTGCGCCACCAGGGAAGCCCTCTGCTGGAATTTTATGCATATCGTCCTCCTCTGTCCTGGTGGGGAATAGAGAACAAATTTCTTTACGTGTAATGACCCTTTCTTGGGCTTCCCTGGTGGCGCAGTGGTTAAGAATCTGCCTACCGATGCAGGGAACACGGGTTTGAGCCGTGGTCCAGGAAGATCCCACGTGCTGTGGAGCAGCTAAGCCCGTGCACCACAGCTACTGAGCCTGAGCCCTAGACCCGCGAGCCACAACTACTGAAGCCCACACGCCTAGAGCCCGTGCTCCGCAACAAGAGAAACCACTGCAGTAAGAAGCCAGCGCTCCGCAACAAAGAGTAGCCCCTGCTCACCACAACTAGAGAAAAGCCCACGTGCAGCAACGAAGACACAATGCAGCCATAAATAAATAAATAAGTAAATAAATTTATAATGATCCTTTCTTGTGCTCAAAGACCTCAACTGTCTCTATTGAGACCAACTATTTATGATTTATCTCTTCTTGGGTTCCAGTTTTCATCCTTTTATCGTTTACAACTCCCCCCACCCTAAACCCCCTTTTTAAATCTGAACTTAGTTAATTAACCAGTCGCTGCTGAGTGATAACAAGTTTCCCAATTTTGAGTATTGAGATCCTCAGCTTGTAGTTAGCGGGAAGGGGGAGAAGACCAATGACATTCATCAATAACAAAGTTCTAGTTGGGAAGTCATTCCAGCTTTAGGAAATATGTAGGTATGTGATAAGAACTAAAATGTCCAGTGTGATAAGTCAGAGGCCCAAACTACAAAGAGAAGCTTGGAAAAACTAATTCATATTTACTCCAAAACACTTCGATGGGTCTCTAGCCAGGAGAGCAGTACTGTGTTCTAAACAGCATTCTGGAATATTGCTCATTCATTTTCTTTTTTTTAACATCCGTATTGGAGTATAATTGCTTTACAATGGTGTGTTTGTTAGTTTCTGCTTTATAACAAAGTGAATCAGCTATACATATACATATATCCCCATATCCCCTCCCTCGTGCGTGTCCCTCCCACCCTCCCTATCCCACCCCTCTATGTGGTCACAAAGCACTAAGCTGATCTCCCTGTGCTATGCGGCTGCTTCCCACTAGCTATCTATTTTACCTTTGGTAGTGTATATATGTCCATGCCACTCTCTCACTTCGTCCCAGCTTCCCCTTCCCCCTCCCTGTGTCCTCAAGTCCATTCTCTACATCTGTGTCTTTATTCCTGTCCTGCCCCTAGGTTCTTCAGAACTTTTTTTTTTTTTTAAGATTCCATATATATGTGTTAGCATACGGTATTTGTTTTTCTCTTTCTGACTTACTTCATTCTGTATGACAGACTCTAGGTCCATCCACCTCACTACAAATAACTCAATTTCGTTTCTTTTTATGGCTGAGTAACATTCCATTGTATATATGTGCCACATCTTCTTTATCCATTCATCCGATGATGGACACAGTTTGCTTCCATCTCCTGGCTATTGTAAATAGAGCTGCAGTGAACACTGTGGTACATGACTCTTTTTGAATTATGGTTTTCTCAGGGTATATGCCCAGTAGTGGGATTGCTGGGTATATGGTAGTTCTATTTGTAGTTTTTTAAGGAACCTCCATACTGTTCTCCATAGTGGCTGTATCAATTTACATTCCCATCAACAGTGCAAGAGGGTTCCCTTTTCTCCACACCCTCTCCAGCATTTATTGTTTGTAGATTTTTTGATGACTTGCCCATTCATTTTTAAAGATGTCTTTATAGATACCTTCTAGATATACACTGTTATTGTTAACACAAAAAGCTTTTCCACAACTTACATGTACCTGGCTTTTTATTTGTTTGAATTTCTATTCCAGAGGTACTGATCTGGAAGCTTTGCTTTCCTTTCCAATGTGTTTAGCCAAATGTGGATAACCTCTCCGATCTGTCAGAAAGGACCATCTCTGGTACAATGGGACACTGCTACGTCTGTGGCCCTGTGTAGAAGAGGTAGTCCAGCTAAGATAAAGAATTTCCCTTCAATCAGGCACAATAACCAGCCCTCTTAGTGAAATGTAAGTGATATTGAGCAGGATCTCAGGGCGCAAGGAGAGTCAGAGCAGCCTGGTTAGAATAGTATTGGTCGTGCTGACAAATACTTGCTTTGGGAGAGAGAACAACAGTGAATAGCACTTAACTAGGGAGTATTTTGGAACCTAAGTATCCACAAAATACGCATTGGCACTGAGTGTTCATTTGTATGCTGCTTTTGAGGGCTAGGGGGTGGGGACAGGTGAATCATTTCTGAGAAACTTGGAAAGCCAGTTTATCTAATGGGAGGGAGTTCTTTTTCTATTCATTGTTTGCCTGCTGCCTTGGCTTCTACCAGTTGAGATGCACTGAGATTAACTGCCGTTTGATTTGAATGACCAGACTTACAAGTTAAGAGACATAGGTATTTAAAGGAAGGATGAATGTCTTGAATCTGACATTAAAATTCCTTTGTCGGGCTTCCCTGGTGGCCCAGTGGTTGAGAGTCCGCCTGCTGATGCAGGGGACACAGGTTCGTGCCCCGGTCCGGGAGGATCCCACATGCCGCGGAGCAGCTGGGCCCGTGAGTCATGGCCGCTGAGCCTGCGCATCCGGAGCCTGTGCTCCGCAACGGGAGAGGCCACAACAGTGAGAGGCCCGCGTACCGCAAAAAAAAAAAAAAAAGAAAATTCCTTTGTCACTAGGAGTTACTTGCTTGGTATGCGTTGTGTGCTGGGCCCCCTTCCCAGTTAAGAGTAAGAATAAGGAAATTGAGATAAGAATGCAGAAAGGGACCATTAAAAGGTTTAAAACCCCAAATCGAAAGCTACAAAAAATTTGATTTGATAGATGCAGCCCTGAATATCGCCGTACCTCCCCTTGCCTTTGAAAGCCCTAGTTAACCTTTGCCAGCCCAGATTTGTGTCTTTCAGGACTGGAGAGTTAAGTCTGATGCACTTATTTTCTACTTTGGAGCACAGGGGATGGATTTCTATGGCACCAAACTAATCATTTGGTTGAATTAATCTCACGTTCTTAACCAAGCCACACTTTTTTTTCAGCTTTCTCTGGTCTCCCCAGAGGTCTTATGTGGCAGAAAGCTTCCAGGTAGCTTGCTAATAATCTTGCCTTGGTCCAGAGTTATGTGGAACAGAAGTAGCATCTTAGGAAGTGTGGAA